AGGAGAATAAAGATCCAGGATGCCTACGGTTATATGAGTTTGGTTGCAGATGGTTGAACCTATGATCCAGGAGTATGATCTGCCCCGTAGTACACTAGACCGGCTCTATACCCTCACCAGGGTGCTCGAGGGTTCATGGGAGTATGCCCAACCTGTCCACATGTGTTTTGTGGACTTGGAGAAGGCAGTCCCTCGTGGCATTCTGTGGAGGGTGCTCTGGGAGTATGGTGTCAGAAGGGCTATGTTAAGGGCTGTCTTGTCCCTGTATGAACAGAGTAGGAGTTTGGTTCGCATTGCCGGCATTAAGTCAAAATTGTATCCAGTGTATGTTGGACTCCACAGGACTGCCCTATGTCACTAATTATGTTCATAATTTTTAGGCGTAAAAAAGGATAGAAGTCTGTTCGTAACATGTCATAGTGACTCATACGTCCATACACAAGAGCATCACGAGAGTTTACATTTGCAAGTTGGTTGGAGGCATAAATGGCAAGGAAGACAAGCAAATAAACTTCCCGCTTGACAGTGATTAATCGGAGGAGGATGTTTCTGATGAACAGAGTAACATTCCATCCGTAACAACATCCGTTCCATCCAACACTGTGGTAAATACATTTGCGTTTTAAGCAAATTTACAAGATTGCTAAGGGGCTCTTTCTTATTTTTCTTTACAGGAATTCCAGTAGCCAGCTCCAGAAACAGAACTGCTTCCAACACCCATCCCTCCCTATTTAGAGATGATATTCCCATGAATCACCCCTTGCACAACTTTCACAAACCTCTATCTTCCTTATACTACAAGCTGTCCGAACTTCCCCTACTCATTACATCATTCATTATCCACCTCTATTCAAATGCATTCCACCCTCCACAAATGATACCCATCCATCTATGCAGGCCAGTTGCCACCCACCCTTCAACATCCAAGGGCATGACCCAGCTAGTCTGACACCCAGGGACGAGGGCATGACTCAGCCACAACAATTCCCCAAGGGCGAGGACACGACCCAAGCACCTTTTTTTCCTTTCTTCCTTCTAGCTGTGAGTACTACTCAGCTTTCTCCCCTTATCACTCACCTTTTCCGCCCAAGCCCCCCGTCACCCCTGCCCCACCTTATTTTAAGGTAGTTGGTTTGAAAAATATTTTGGTCTCCTTTAAATTTACAAGAGTTTTTTAAGCAAGTTTGGTTTCCATGTAACTCCAAAATGAGCTTTCTATTGTAATGGATGTAATTCCTAAACGATAATGCTTTCCAGATGTTATGATAGATTACCCAACACCACGTCTACATCATTACACACTCCACTGAGAAAATGTGTATTTTTATCACAACATTCCTCACGTAACACCAATATTAGATCTCTCTTTCAAAAGGAAATTGTATAAACTTGTAATTGTTAGACTGGTCAGATATAATGGAAACAAAAGTTTGGACTTTGCCTTTAAAATAACTAACAAGATTAGAGAAATTTCATTCACAGTTACATAAATTGTACCCAGACAAGTTTAAGTTTGTTCAACAATAGAAGTAAATTGATTAAGTTTAGTAGCACTTTATTGTGAGTGACTGTCAATTTATGACTGAAGAAACAGACTTTCTGATGAAGAGTTAAAAAAAAATTATTTATTCTTGCAGATTATACATCATCAAACTATTAAACATGCGCAAAACAACCAGTACAGTGATTATTTTTTAAATAAAGAAAATAATCTAGGCTGTATATATAAACCTCACACATTAGCCCCTTTCACACATACAGACCTTTCCGGAAATTTGCCGGAATGCTGCGCTGTGTGAACGCAGAAGGAAGATTGCCGTAATAAGCGCGTGCACGTCTAGAACGTGCTGACGTGAGACGTCTGCTTTAGCCAATCACAACAGTCAGACGCATTTACGTCCGCGCGGTTTATGAGAATAAAAGCCTTTGAATATTTTTCCAGACACATTTAGCTGCTAGAAGTTAGTCAGATCACGTTTATATGTTCTTCTTAATGCCAACTGTGTAAATAATCATCGATGAGATGCTTATGATAAGCCGTTGTTTGTTTACCTTCAAGCTTTGCGTGTGCCTGTGAAACAGCCTGTGAGCGCCTGCACACACACATATTATGAACATCTCGACATGCGAAAGTGATCCTGCGAAAGTTGTTCACAATATTGATCATCCACAGAGTCTGTAATTTAGTCAAATGTTTACAAACACAAGCGCAGCCGTTTAAAGCTCATTTGTGGTGAATGATGTCAGAATTTAGCGGTATTTTGGAATGGATGTGTGAATGCTCTTTTCCGGAAAATTTCCGTAACGTCCTCGCCTGTGTGAACAGCGCTTTTTTGAATATACCGGTAAAGTCGTTCCGGAAATTTTCCAGATATTTACCGGTATCACTGTGTGAAAGGGGCTATTGTCTCACTCATTGCGACGTCTATGCTAATATCATCGATTTAGCATATTTTTTGTATATTTTTATTCCAGCTCCATTTTCCCCCACACTCTAAACATATGCGCTATAGGGGAATTGATTAACTTAATTGGCTGTAGTTTAAATGAGCGTGTATGGGTGTTTCCCAGTACTGGGTTGCTGCTGGTAGGGCATCAGCTGTGTGAAACATATACTGGAATAGTTGGTGGTTCATTCTACTGTGGTGACCCCTGATAAATAAAGGGACTAAGCCGAAGGAAAGTTAATGAATGAACCTTGCATAAATATGTCAACATAACAGCTCTAAGTTACAACAGAAATACTTCATTTTTTGAGGTAAAATCAAATAGTTTTTAAGGGACTGAGTTTACTCCCTGTAAGTAATCGCTTTTTACAGTGTAAACAAACTATGTGCATAATTATAAAAGTTAAAGGTGCAGTATGTAAGTTTGGGACCGGGGGAGGACCACATACTCTGGTCCCCCAGGCTCTGCAATGGTTGGGGAAATTCGAAATTGAACCAAAACAACCCAATGCAAATGGCTTAAGATTGGCAATGACAAATCGGTAATTGCAACCAGCAGAACCTGAGAGGTATAAAAAAAAAAAGTTAGTAAGTTTGATACCCAGTGGTTGAACTAGGCATTACATTCCTGGATCAAAACCAATGCAAGTGCAGGTTGCCAGAGTCTGACAATCGAGCCTAAAGGCTGCCTAAAGCTGTGTTCTAAATAAAAGCAACAGCATGCAATAGAAGGAATATTCTCCATATTAAAAGGAGTTTTTGTCCTAATCAACACCTCGAATTGATATATTAGAAACGGTTTCTGTTTCTCATAGCTGAACAACAGAAAACTGACAATGATTAGCTCAGGTGCACCTCATGTGCTTTATTCAGTGTAAAATGCTAATAATGTGAGTCTGAATGCCATTTTACATGCCATGTATTGCCATACTACTGAAAGCAGCAGAAGATAGTTCAGCTTAGACAGGCGTGTCCAAACTAGTTTTGTGGCAGCCCGCGAGGCTTTTTATAAAAATCATAGAATCTGGCCCGCTATACAAAAATGAACGTAATTCAATAAATAACCACCGGGTGTTGCTATTACATGCATTCAATTGAGCAGCAGTTCTTGTTATGATCTATCTATCTATCTATCTATCTATCTATCTATCTATCTATCTATCTATGAATTATTAGCCCCTCTTTGATTTATTTCTTCTTTTTTAAATATTTCCCAAATGATGTTTAACAGAGCAAGGACATTTTTACAGTATGTCTGATAATATTTTTTCTTTTGGAGAAAGACTTTTGTTTTATTTCGGCTTGAATAAAAAGCGATTTAATTTTTTTCATGAACCATTTTAAGGTCAAAATTATTAGCCCCTTAAGTCTTCTGAACAAACCATTGTTATAAAATAACTTGCCTAATTACCTTAACTTGACTAGTTAACTTAATTACCCTAGTGAAGCCTTTAAATGTCACTTTAAGCTGTATAGAAGTGTCTTAAAAATATCTAGTCAAATATTATTTACTGTCATCATGGCAAAGATAAAATAAATCAGTTGTTAGAAATGAGTTATTAAAACTATTATGTTTAGAAATGTGTTGAAAAAAATCTTCTCTCCGTTAAACAGAAATTGGGGAAAAAATAAACGGGGGCTAATAATTTAGGGGGGCTAACAATTCTGACTTCAACTGTATTTATATATATATATATATATATATATATATATATATATATATATATATATAAATATATATATATGCGTGTCTGTGTGATGTATGTAAAATTTGGCCCGCAACAACGTTTGTTTTTTTGCATCTGGCCCTCGGCCCAAAAAGTTTGGACACCCCTGAGCTAAGATCTGAAAAATAAAATAACTCTTTGAGATCGAACTTCAGAACTTAGACTCGGTGCAAACCAACACATATCAGAGGTTTAATATGTATTTATTAGATTATAAACCTTTCCATTTGGAGTGCAGTGAGTGCACTATTCTGTGCTAATGAGTGGCTGTGTTTACATTTCTGTCATGTTTTGTCTGCTGCAAACAGCTAAACTGCTTATCACTGCGTATCTGGTTACGTAGCGTGTTGTTAGGACACGGGGTTACGATGGAACCTGCTCACCTAATATTTACGTTCGTAATATTTATATTATTTGCTAATTAATAACCTCATGTGGATCTCTGAATCTGCGTTTATTTCTGAGTCTGCTACTGTCCACCAGAGGTCACATTTCGGTCATGGGCGCATGCTTTAAGAGGCTTCCTGACTGAATGAATGAATAAAATATGCTGATGTCCACCAGGGCAACCCAGAGTGCTGAAATATGATTGGCTAAAGTGGCATTGGGTGGGTTAAATGACCAAAACAAAGACAGCCGTTACGGCAGGGAAAACACACTTTTAAAGCAGAATATCTGACTTCAGCATTGTTCTTCAGACGAACAAGAATGTTCTTAGCATGATTCTCAAATATCTGCAAATATTATTATGGTATAATATATCTGCATATATGATGGTGTTTTTATGCTTTAGAAGAGTCAAAATCTGACATACAGCACCTTTATGTTAGGTCAATTGTTTTACTGACTTTTTATTTTAAGTAAAATCAACTTGTTTTTTTAAGGCAATGGGTTTACTTAATTTTTTTTAAAGTAGCATATCTCTTTTTACAGTGTAGGAAACCCAGTACCAAAGCAGCCTAACCACAGATATGCCCGCCTGTTTCATCTTGACCCACATTTAATTACATTCAGCGTACTCCGGGGGAGATTCTGCAGGAGGGTGTTGAAAGAAAGGGTTGCTGGCCACAGGAATCTGGAAGACAAAATGTATACGGTCAGCTTTATTTAGTGCTTACTTATTGCCCCGTTAAATTGTTTTGGTTGGTTGATTTTTACTTGGGAACCATTTTACTAAAAGTCTATTTAGGGTGTGGTGTAAGCTTCTCTTACCTCTGAGGTGTTTTGGAAATAATTGGGCTGTGGAGACGCAACTGGGGAAACAGATGGCACCTGTGGAAGAAATCACAGATACTTCTTACTAAAGGCCTGCTAGGTACAGGGGAGGCCAACCCTGTTCCTGGAGAGCCACCTTCCTGCAGATTTCAGCTGCTACCTATATCAAACACACCTGCCTGTAATGATCACGTGCTGTTCAGGTCCTAATTAATTGATCCAGGTGTGTTTGATATGGGTTGCAACTGAAATCTGCAGGAAGGTGGCTTCCTTCAGCAAAATTCGAATGAGCCATTTTAATTTAGATTAATTCTAAGATTACAGCAAGATTAAGCTAGATTTAAAAAATTACCTACAGTTTTTATTCATTTCATTATGTTTGTTGATCTACCTGTGCTTCGTTTTCAATATCTTTGGGCTCTGCTAATTGTTTTCATTTATAGACGTAGTAAAATTGTTGTAATGCTATTGTTCCCCTGCTGAAAAATCCAGCTTAAACCAGCCTAGGCTGGTTGGCTGGTTTTTTCAGTGGGGTTGTGAGCAAATCCAGCCTGATCTCATGAGGAAACGTACGTATTTTACGTTTTGTCAGTTTAGTGGCTAATTTGTACGAGTTCAGTCGTACGAAAAAGTACGATTTTAAAAATAGGCGTGGCACCTAACTCCACCCATCATTGGCTGATGAGCAAATCGTACTAAATCGTGTGAATTAGATCGTACAAATTTAGAAGAATTAGCCACTAAAGCAAAAAGATACGAATTGCCGTGCATTGGCAAATCTGGAGATTGGATGAATTATTAAAATAAAATGTCAGAGAAGAGCCTGCATGAATTCAAAACTTACAATGTTTACTTTGCTAGCGCACATTGTTAGTCTTTATTTGTTTGTTTATTTAATCAAATTGAATATAAAATCTGCCTTTCCTTTTAGTTTGCTAAGATGCTCAAAAACAACCCCCCGCCCACTAAGTGTATTTAACCGTGTTTGTGGGTTCTTGTGAAGTCCGAACATCCTCAATTTGTCTCTCTTTACCCCTTAAAAGGTTCAGCTGATGTATTTCTCACCTGAGGATGACAGCAGGAGGTGAATTTAGAGGCGAAACCACACAGGTAGACAGAGATGAAGAACTGCAGGATGGTGAACAGCAGCAACACACCACTGATTCCTGAGAACAGAGTCTGAGAGAACATTCAACATGAGCATACATAACTATGAAATTGAGTTCAATAATAATGTTTAAAGGTGCCATAGACTGAAAATCTGGATGTAATCCCATACCATTTCCTCTTTCTTATTTAAATTTCCAATTTCTTTGGTTCTAAATGAACCTACAAAATTATTTATGAGGAAATGTTGCATTTACCTAAGAGACACATCTGTTGGATATCAGAAACCAATTCAAACAACACATTCTATGGCTTTTAGTTTAGTTTAGTTTATTTGTTTACAGGGTCAATGCACATTAATAAACATTACTGTAAAATGTGCCAGAATTAGCCAAGAATGGCTATTTTTCATCCGTAGACCCTTTACAGAATGTTAAAAAGTCACACCTAAAATAGAAGCACAACATTAAACATTAAATACACTTTCATAAGAAATACAGTTAAAAAAGTAAAGAAAAGAAAAAAAGAAAAAAAAGAACAGACTGATGGGAGCAGAGGACAAAAAGCCAAAGACAACAGTACAAATGTGTCAAGAATACAGTACTAATGCTGACAATGCTGATTTGTCAATAACCAATTTCTAACATGAGACTGAAAAGAACGAAAAGTGCATGATCTTCTAATTGTGGGTGGGATGGAGTTCCATTCCCTAGCAGCTCTCACTGAAAATACAGATTGACTGAATTTGCTTTTTTTGAGAGGAATAATGCAGTCTCCTCTGTCACCTCCTCTAGTAGTTCGGTGAGCAGTCGTTCTAATATTTATAAACTGATTTAATGGTGAAGTCGGGTTATGTAAAGTCTTAAACATTAAACAGATATGTACATATGTAATTAAATTTTCCCAACTAAGCAGGTTGTATTTCTTTAATATTAAACAATGGTGATATTGAACTGATTTCTTATCAAGGGTTTTTATGGATTGCTTGTATAAAGATTTAAGTGGCTTCAGAGTAGTGATGCTGGCTTGGGACCAAGTGGTAAAACAATAAGTGATGTGAGAAATGATCATGGAGTGATAATAGATTAGAGCAGCCTCACATGACATCTGATCACGAATAAATCTAAAATTTGCTAAACTGAATCTGACCCGGTTACAAACCTTTTTAACCTGAGACTGAAATGATAGTTTTGAATCTATTAAAACTCCAAGGTACTTGTACTCAGATACAACTTGTAATCTTTCCCCTGATACAAATACATCTGGTACTACACTTAGCCTACCATTCTTAGAAAAAAACATACACACGGTTTTAGAGATGTTCAACTGTAAACAGCATTGATCTAACCAGGCTGAAAGATGTACCAGTGATTCTGTGAGTCTGTCTGCAACTTGTAACACACTACTACCATGAATAAATATAACAGTGTCATCCGCATACATTTGTATGTTATTGTTAGGACACATAGATGGGAGATCATTGATATATAAAGTAAAAAGTAAAGGGCCCAAAATAGATCCTTGTGGAACACCTGTGGATATACCTAGAGGGGCAGATTTGTAATTTTGTATATTAACACACTGTGTGCGACCAGACAAGTAAGATTCTATCCATTTTAAAGTTTGTGGTGAGAAGTTAAAACCAACTAATTTGGACATGAGAATTCTATGATTTACAGTATCAAAAGCCTTCCTAAAATCAAGAAACACAGCCCCAACGATACCCCCCTTATCTAATAAAGACTTTACTTTTTCAGTAAAGTAGCAATTTGCCATCTCACTTGAGTAGTTCGCTCTGAAGCCGAACTGCAATGGATGTAAAGCAAAAGAACTATTATTTAAGTAATTTGTAATTTGTGTGGCTATCAGTTTTTCTGCAATCTCACCTTTAAGTCAATATTTTCATCCAGGATAAATAACCAGTCATATCTTTAAAGCACTTAATCTAGAAAACACTGAGTGCAGATTTAGGTTTTCAAGTGTGTATCGACCACACAGGGATCTTACTGTAACTCTAAAATAAAAACTTTTGCACCAAAATGATATGAGTATGAAGAAGTTGATGACGTACCATATACATTCTCTCAATTTCACCACAATAATAGCCACTGCAGTAAAGGTAGAGGGGTCCATTACCCAAATCCACTGAAAGCAGAATGAAGGCAATGGCTGCAGTTACAGCACTGAAAATGTTCATTCCAAGAGAGCCTTTCACCTACGGTAGAGGCACAAACATAGAAAGGTTACTTAACATGTTGTCTTGACACACTGTGCTAAAGTAAATGGAAGAAAACATGGAAAGTTAATTGGCAAATGAATGAAATATAGAGTCCGAGCACTGAAGGCTCATGCAGATGATTACGTGATGAAGCTGAAGATGTTCTACAGAGAGACTTCCAGAAAGATTTGGACAAAAGTTTGCTTGCTTTCAGTCAGGCACTGGTTAAAGAGTTAGTTCACCCAGAAATCTACATTTTTAAAAAGCTCATGTGATAAACACAACAGGAAATAGTGTGAGGGTGACTTCTTCTGCTCGACAAGCGGAGATATGTGAAGATGTACACCTTGTGTTTTTTAATAAGCGCCATTTCAATACTTCACATTTAGATAAGGCTCGACTATGATAGCAGGTTTGGGAGAGAACCCTGAGCTCGGAGATAGATAAGATTAAAGTTCCTGCCTGGTCAATGAGCATTAGGAGGGATATGAGATCAGGTATTTCTCATGAGCCCCCGGTTCATGTTTTATCTACATTGTTTGATATGGTGTTTCTAACTGATTCAGTACATATGGGTTAAGTCAAGGGTGCTCAACCCTGTTCCTGGAGATCGACCTTCCTGCTAAATTTAGCTCCAACCCTGATCAAACACACCTGACCCAGTTAATTAGAACCCGAAAAGCACTTAATAATTACCGGCAGGTGTGTTTGATATGGGTTGCAACTGAAATCTGCAAGGACTCACCCCTGGGTTAAGTCCTTCCTAGTGGCTATTATTACAATTTGCTTACTCATAGAATAGAGGAAAAGGGAAGAATATAATTTTTTTTTTCAAAACGAAGATAAGGAATGAAGTTTAGACATATATTTATATTTATAGTCATTCTGGAATGATCTGATAGGCAGGCTAATGATTAGCGATAAGGATCAGCTATAGTCGATCATATCACATGCTCCTCTCAAAATTAGTTTGTGAAACTTCACTTAAGCTGCGGACACACAAGAGTTTGTGTGTGGAAAATTCTGTCGTACGGCGCTGCAAAAAGGGGCGGGATTAGAGGCGATTAGACCCCTGCTGAAAAATCCAGCTTAAACCAGCCTAGGCTGGTTGGCTGGTTTTAGCTGGTCAACCAGGCTGGTTTTAGAGGGTTTTTGGCCACTTCCAGGCTGGTTTCCAGCCATTTCCAGTCTGGTCTTAGCTGGTAAGGCTGCAAAATGACCAGCTAAATCCAGCTAAAACCAGCTTGACCAGCCTGGCAGGCTGGGAGCCCAGCCAAAACCAGCTACGTCCAGCTTAAACCAGGCTGGTCAAGCTGGTTTTAGCTGGTCATTTTCCAGCCTGACCAGCTAAGACCAGGCTGGAAACCAGCCTGGAAATGGCCAAAACCCCTCTTAAACCAGCCTGGTTGACCAGCTAAAACCAGCCAACCAGCCTAGGCTGGTTTAAGCTGGATTTTTTAGCCGGGACATTAAAAAAGTGATCGATTGCTCTATGTTTTAAATTTCTTTTAAAATTTTAAAACCTCGATTGTTCTCATGCTGTCAAGTGATGTGATTTTGCAGGTCAGAGTTCACCAAGCTTGAACCTTGCACCGCAGCAACCTGCGAAACTTGACGCATGACATTGCGTTTCCGGTGTGACGCATTCGCATGCGTACGAATGGAAGTCTATAGGGAGAAAAGTCCAGTGTGACCGCAGCTTTAATGTCATGAAGTGAATTTTCGTGTTCATCACCCGTGAAAATCACTGTCAAAAAATGTCTTAAACACTTCGTTAAGCAATAACAGTCCCGGTGTGCGTGTGAAAATCTACTTTTTTATTGTGGCTTTCTCCAATGTACAGCTTGTTTGATTATTCCACCAGAATAATAGTGTGTGGCTGAGTAAAAAGGCATGTTTAGGACCTTCCTAACAAGTTTTAGATCTTTACGAATTGCAATATCTTCATCAAATACACTATAAGGGCAGAAAAAAAACATTTATGGTTGAATCCCTACAGATCAAATGATTACAAGCACCCAGTGTTTAGACCCATAAACAGAACAAGTGTTGTGTACATACCAAACACAAACTGGTTGGTGAATCATGTTTGTTTTCAGCGGCAATGGAGAGCGGCCTGCAGCAATGTACTGAAAACAGAGAGAAGAGCACAAATGAAAGCTCATGCTGGAATATATACAGATATACACATGGTACTCAACCAGAAAGAGCGGTTTACTGCCATATGAACAACTTCCTCAACGGCTAAATGCATTTGCAGTTTTCTTATGCTGTGTTCATGCCAGAAGGTAGCTTAATCATGCTATTCATTAGTTTACTGGCTTAATTCCGCATCAAATCCACTTTATTAACGCGTAAAATTCACTTCACAACAGACACGGATTCGTATGATGGGCAGGGCTTCTGTCTGCCAGGTGACTAGCTTTGTTGCTAAATGGCTAACATGGATTTTATTAAGAGAACAGTTGTGTTTATTTGCTTCATGAAGGCTGAAAACAGCGTTGATTCGTTTGGAGCCCACAAGATCCTTTCAGAGGTGCACCCAGCTCTGTGAGTTCATCAACTCCTTCAGAAACTATACCTGGATGATGGAAGCTTCCAGCGGTGCTTCTGACTGAGCCGAGTCCAGTTTGATCCAACTATTGCTGGTGTTGGCAGGAGGATTTTCCCCCAGGACACCAACATTAGGTGCTACGTCATAATCGTAACGCTTTAACCAAACCAATCGTGCAAAACACACAACTCGCGCCGATTCATTCGTGCAAATCGTGTCATTCATGCGTATCGCACCACAGGATGATGTTTATTCACGTCTTTGCATTGACTTGACATGTAAATCACTTACGCTTGATGCTACTTCCGCGTCTGGTGTGAACGCAGCATTAGGCCCAGATTGGATCTGTTCTATGACCGTGTAAACAAGATATAAACGCATGCATTCAGATATTCAGGGATGGGTTTGAGGCCTCCTCCATATGTGGAAATAAATTAGATATTTGACAATGCGACTTTTAATTTTGTACGTCATTAAACTTGTGAATGTGGTACTGTCTGTTTAATGACGTAGAAGGAAGAGCGTGTGTGGAGACACTAACGCGGTAAACAACAACAACAGAGGAAACATGGAAGGAGGAAAGTGGTCAGTGGTCGACGGCTGAAGTTACCCGCCTTCTCGCCCTGTGGGGAGATGAGTCAGTGGAGGACGCCATATATAAACGATATGCGCAAGCTGCGATGACGGCCCTTTTCCTCCTCCTCCGTCTCAAATTGTCTGCATTTGAACCCATTCATTTGTGTTCATTTATAAATAAAAGGGAGTTCCAGTGTTATCAAGCAATGCTGACAACCTTTGGTTTTCATGCCACCCAGTTTATTCAAATAAGTGTCATGTGACACTTTTTACGGCTTTATCTTTATAGTGGCAGTAAATGTGACAGTATTTATTCTGGTTGACTACCTACTGCAGGACAGGTATAATCGTATCTTACAATGAGAGATCCCCAGTAAGGAATGCCACTGAAGACAAAGACGGACTCCGCATAGACTGTAAGCACGATACCAAACAGGAAAGTCAACACACCGATCATTATCTGGACATTCTGTGAGGAATAAAAGAGAACAGCGTGAGAAGGGCAAGAACGTAATATTGTACAATAAAAATATATCAAATGTATTGCACAAGAGATCATTTCACATTCCGATTGGTGGATGTTTTCGTGAAATTGTCCAGTAATCAAGTCATCATGCTTTTCTTCTCAGACAGTCTTATCTGTAACTGTCTAAAGTTAACCTCTAGACCTTAAACACTATCTGATGACTGTACATTTACTGCACTGCCACCAAGGCAACAAGTCAATAAAACTTCAGTGACCTAAAAAAGTCAGCTCTATATCTATAAAAGCTGTATATCAGCATAAACACCAATTGTTTTGGGTTTATAAGAGATTTCTTACCACAAGAGTTTTTGTGTGGCCTTTAAGAAAGGCCTGAATTCCTTCAAGAGTCAAAACTCCAGCTTCATGCTGTATGTAAACAGGCACAGGGGAACTGGTCCCAGTCACTATCGGTGCTGTTTGTGTCGGTGGTTGAAGCTTGATGACAACCGTTGAAGAATCCACGGCTTTGACCGTCAACATTTCCGTTTCACAGTGTAAAAATGATCTGTGCACAATCATAATTAAAATGTTTAAAAAGCATGCAGTTGATTTAGTTCAGTATATATCTATATATATATATATATATATATATATATATATATATATATATATATATATTAGCATAACATCTATATTTTGAATACATTTATAAATGCAGTTGTGCTATCATGGTTATTGATAGAGGTAGATGTATTGTCGTCAAGCTGTTAGACACTAAAAACTCAGAATATACAGTTAAACAGCTCATGTTTAAAATAATCCAGAATGTTTACATTTTAAAAGCGACACCGTGACTAATTAGTACCAATAAATACATTAATCATTATATTTTTTACAGCCTTAATTCAAGAACTGATATTGGTATAAAAGTAGTCATATGTACTTTAAGTATGTAGTGTCTTACCAGAAAGAGAATCCTATGTTCAGCTGGGCTTTTGGACTTCACTCTGAGGTTCAGCTCTCTCTTCTGAGACACGCCAGCACAAAGTCTATGTTTTATATGCAATTAATGACACTGCTTCCCAGTTTAAAAAAGGGAAGCAGGAAGAGCTTACTTGATCCTGACTGATGGCAAAGGTTTAAGAGTAAAGAGAGTAAACAGCAAAAGACAGTTAAACAGAAGTCTTATGTCTTATATGCAAATTATCTGTATATCTATTTTGGTAACTAGTGGAAACTTTCAAAGTGAAACCAGGAATCCTTAAGAATTTATTTAAGACAAATTATTAAACCAGGCCAGGGCAATAACACAGTCTAGAGGTATTCAAAACCAGCAGCAAAATAGGCAGATCAGGTGAGCAGCTGCACAGTCTGAAAACCGAAGTCTAATGCTGCGTTAACACCAGACGCGGCACGCGCGTCAAGCGCGAATGATTTACATGTTAAGTCAATGCAAACGCGCGAATAGACATCCTGCGGCGCGATACGCCCGAATGGCGCGGTGCGAATAGCGCGATACGCACGAGGCGAATTGAGCTTTTTTTGCGTTTGACGCGCTTAACAAGCGTTTCGCGATTGGTTTTTAAGGGGCTGTTTCATATGGATTTATTAATCATTCTTACTGTTCAGTGAACGCAAACTGCCGTCGTTTATTAAAGACGAGAACTCCTCACTGCACGCCAGCTGCGCACCTTCAGCAGACCTCCTCATTCCTGCAGCACGAGAGCTTTATGATTGTTTATGAGCGACAAAAGTGGCGGATCTGTTCGGCGAAATATCTGACTGTGTGTCCCCGCATCCCTAAGGACTGTTTGGCGAAATATTTGATGGCATATCAAACGACTGAAACGATATAACTAGAGAAATCTCCACTGAACAGCCCAGCAGCGATGACGTAAGCATGCCGAGGCCCATTTGTGGTGTGAGCGTGGGCCGTCAGGGGGAGACGGGTGGGGGGACAAGCGTGCTTTGGCCCGGTTCGAGGCAACTGTACCTAGTGTGAATACGGCCTTAGACTATATTTCTAGTACAGTAGCATACAGCATTCTGTATACCCTCTTTCCCACATTATCTGCTGATAATGACATTTTAAAATGTACAGGAGTTCTATGCTATGCTTACTTAGTATATTTTAGTATAATGACTTTAATCTTTTAGTATTTTTCCTCCTCTACCGCGCTATTGTCCCCCAATGCAGCTGCCGTATTTAAACCTTTTAAGGTTATTTCAGTTAATTATTGCAGCGTCTGATTTCAGAGCTCTTTTTTGCTTTGTTGGAGCTTTTTGGCAACGCCTTTCCTTATTTTTTATGGTCCATCTCTGACAATTATTAATATTCTCGCCAGATTTTGATTATGTTCGCGTAACCTCTGATTGGGTCGGTCCCTTCCCGCGTTAACCAATCAGAAGCTTGCTCATGTGGGGGCGTGATTGTGATGTAGAACCTGTTGATGACGTCCCGGGGTAAATCCTCCAGGCGACACTGACAACAAGTCATCAAACTGGGCTTGGCTCAGTCAGAAGCACCACTGAAAGTCTCCGTCATCCAGGTTCAGTTTCTGGAGGAGTTTATGAGCTCACAGAGCTGGATGCACCCCTGAATACATGTAGTGGACTCAGACATGGTCCGACGCTGTTTTTCAGCCTTCATAAAGTACATAAACACTGTTATTTTCTTCATAAAATCCATGTTGGCCATTTAGCAACAAAGTTACAGTCACCGGGCAGACAGAAGCCCATCTGCCTATCACGCGAATCCGCGTCTGTTCTGAAGTGAATTTGACACACGAATGAAGCGGATTACACGCCCGAATGAAGCAGGGTTTGACGCGCGAATGAAGCGAGTAAACTCAAATGTTCACGCTGCAATTTACGCGCGAATAGTGCGATTTATCCGCGCGTTCCGCGTCTGGTGTGAACACAGCATGAGACAGTCAAAGAGCCGTCCAGAACAAGGCAGAAATGTCAGGTAAGCTAATTAACAACATTCCCACAAACTCTCAAGGAGAGAGCGAACATAGAGATTAGATAACAGCAAAATAACTGGACATGAGTGTAATATAGATGAAGGCATGGAGGAAGGATGTGGAGTACCACCAGCAAAAGCATTTTCTTCAGCCAACGACCGAACTGAAACCAAACATAGGCTCCAGGCCTGGTCATAACGCCTTGTTTTATTCTTCTGCTTCTCTGTGAGACTTAAGACTGGTGTGCTAACAGGCGATGCTCCTTAACAATAAGCTTGCGTGTTACAATAAAATAGTAAAAGCACAACAAGATGTTTGAGAGTGATTCTTATATTGTTAGCTCCAGCGAATTACATCTCTGGGAGTTTATCTTAACTCATTAGACCCATCCAGGGCATCCAAGGATACCATATATCAGGCAAGGCTAACTGGTAAGCTGCTTCTAGGACCTGGCAGGGGGCTGGGAAATGTGGGTGGTTCAACCCACGGTGTTGGCCTAGATGGCCATAGCGACTCTCACATCAGTGTTTAATCCTTGTTGGTAAGTGCACAGTAGCACCAAATTATTCCACCCACAAGTCGCCACCAGTGTACCGGACTGCAGGTTGTATTCCGTGTTTCTGGAGGATCCATGATGAAAATGGAAGTTGGTCAGCTGTGAAAAGCATTCATTGTTGGGGCTTCATATGGATTGAACCCTAATCAACGTTGTTTCCAGTTAGCAACAAGATAAAGCCACCTTACAGCTCTGATGGGAATTCTGTAGGTTGCATTTCAATATACAGCTCAACTTGGAGAGCATTAACCGATTCAGTGAAGGGGTCCAGGGATGATATTTCCTTCTAAGATCTGATTATATAGACAGTTTTACCTCTTTATTTATACATGTTTGGACTAAGAGAACATATATTTTTACAGTTTGGAAACTAATGACCAATCAGACCACTATTTAAGGAGTTCTGGCCAGCTGAACACTGTCAGGAGGAGTAGATCTCACCCCTGAATTCCCTATTCCACAATCATTCATTCCCCATGGATTACATGCACGAGAGCTGCCCTGGGATTCTGAAAACTTGCTGATGTTCTGGAAAAGCACGTAGGAGAAAGAGGAGAGTCTAATCAATGGATGTGGTTGGTGACACTGAAGAAATGCCTATATGAGGACTGAAGGAGACTATGCATTCAAAAGCATCAGTGATGGTACATTGGGCAACTTTAAGCAAGGATGTCATTAGTGAGCAACTAGATTAGACACAGTGCAACTAATAAGGTGTCGTGCAAATAATTTGAATCCAAATGCAAAGGCTCAGACTACCTATGGCCTTCAGTGGCGTCTCAAGGGCTGGAGATGAACAGAATTCAAAAGCCTTCCTCAAGTAGACAGGGGATGTGCCTTGGCAGAGGTACCGGTGGAGTGAGGCAAACACGGACCCCCTTTGGAGCAACTGTACATAAAACACTGACTAAGAGGATGAGGACAAAGTACAGGAGCTATGTTGCAGCCAGGAGCACACGGTAACTCGAGAGCAAGAGCAAAACAAAAACAGAACTCATGACATTGCTCAATCCTGTTCTTGTAGATCTACTGTACCTTCCTACAGAGTTCAGCTCCAACCCTGATCAAACACACCTGAACCAATTATTAGGACATGGACAGCACTTGATAATTACAGGCAGGTGTGTTTGATAAGGGTTGAAACTGAAGTTCGATCTCCAGGAAAAGAGTTGGTCACCCGCTGCATTAGGGCAACAGGATCCAGATACAATTATTTTGCCTATTCTCAACATAACATTGTAATTTATAAAATAAGATTCATCATCCCTGCTGAAAAAATCAGCTTAAACCAGCCTAAGCTGGTTGGCTGGTCAACCAGGCTGGTTTTAGAGGGGTTTTGGCCACTTCCAGGCTGGTTTCCAGACTGGTCTTAGCTGGTCAGGCTGGAAGATGTCCAGCTAAAACCAGCTTGAACAGCCTAGCCAGGCTGGGAGCCCAGCCAAAACCCAGCTTAAACCAGGCTGGTCAAGCTGGTTTTAGCTGGCCAGGCTGGAAAATGACCAGCTAAAACTAGCCAACCAGCCTAGGCTTGTTTAAGCTGTTTTTTCAGTAGGGATACAATTTTGAATCCATAACTCTGACTGTAAAACAAACCTTAGGTTCAATAAAGTACATTCCTGTGTGATTGACTGCATATCACCTTCCAATAAGCGAGAAAAAAAACAGCACAAACATGGTGATCAAAACTCTGCAGGACTGCACACTTCTAGGAACCCCTGAACTAGCCCCGAACCCCAGCTAAGTGCAAACATGGGTATCAGTGTCTAGTCATGTTTTGTAAAGAAAAACAAATATAAGTATGGTGACACATCACAATTTGGGCTCACCATTTAACCCATCCAAATGCAGAGCAGTAAACCCACACACATTGTGAATATACCCTGGGCATTGGTGCACCCAGGGGGGTAGATGAGGGTTCCATAATTAGGCTCAAGGGACTCACCTTAGTCATGGGTTTAAGGGTGGAAGGGTAGGCCATGATATTATTAGTTTAAACTCTGTTTTTCGAAGCATGATCCTTTATTTAATGTCATGTGTCATAAGCTGGAAGTTTTTGATAGGAATAAGCAGTTTAAACTGTCGTCTTCCACATTAACAAAGTGCGAGAGTAAATCATAGTAAATACTGCAGGGTTTGCGGTGCATGTTAAAATATAAATATTCCCTCTCATCCCCTTGTGGAATGACAGTGTCTTTAACTCCATCTAGATGATAGGAAGGAAATGCAAGGAAATCACAAGGTAAACAGTTTTTTTAATTCTGCTTTAATTGATCCAACTTAAAAAATATTTCAATCTTACAGATTATACAGTAAGTAAGAGTATTCAAAGATACTCTTTTAATTATTTAATAGATTTCTCCAACATGTGTTCTTCCATCTGAATGAATGCATGTGTGAATGAGAGAGTGTATGGGTGTTTCCCCGTGTGAGGTTGCAGTTGGAAGTGCATCAGCTGCATAAATCATATACAAGAGTAATTGGTGTTTCATTTCACTGTAGTGACCCCTAATAAATCAGGCACCAAGCCGAAGGATAGTAAGTGTTGTTCCATCATCTATAACACAGGTGTCAATTCCAGTTCCTGGACGAACGCAGGTCTGCACAGTTTAGCTATAACTCTAATTAAACACACCTGATCAAACTAGTCCTTCAGGCTTGTTTGAAAACTACAGCTAAGTGTGTTGCAGCAGGGTTGGAACTAAACTGCAGAGCTGCGGCCCTCCAGGAGCTGGAATTGACACCTGTGGTCTATAAGATTTCAAAAATCTGCATTTATCTGGATACTAGGTGAGAAATCATAAGTAAATCCAAAGTCAAAGAAGCAGAACCAAAGTTCTGGCCACTTTTGTGATTCACATTAATTTACGTTCAGTGTACACGGGGGGAGTCTCTGCAGCAGGCTGCTGACTGTACTGTAGGAGACTTTCTGCAGGAGGCTGCTGACTGTACTGTAGGAGACTTTCTGCAGGAGGCTGCTGACTGTACTGTAGGAGACTTTCTGCAGGAGGCTGTTCACTGTACTGTGGGAGACTTTCTGTAGGAGGCTGTTGAACGTAATGGTTGCTGACTACAGCAATCTGCAGGACAAAATGTATACAGTGAGCTTCATTTATTGGTTGCTTCCTGAACAATCACTTCCCCCACTGTTCCTCACACATTTACAGTACGTTAATTGTCTTGTGGATTTTTACTTGGGTACAATTTTAGTCCATTTAAGCTGTGGTTCTTACCCCTGAGGTGTTTAGACCATGGACATGATGGGGCCGTGGAGACACAACTTGTGATACAGTTGGCACCTGCACCTGTGGAAGAAGATGCTTAATGCCTTCTTACTGTTACATGATATTAATGCACAACAATGGTGACCTATTCTAGACATTTGTGGGTTTAACCCATCTAGTCAACACACACCAGCAGCAGTGGGCAGTTGGAGTACAGCTTTCAGATTACAAGTCAGACTTAGAAAACATTAAAGGCACAATATGTATGACTTGTTTCTTCCATTATCCCAAATGTAAATAAGCTATTTAATTGAGAAAAAAAAGTTAAGTAGTGAGACTGAATGTGTCAGCTGACGTATTTCTCACCTCAGGATTACAGCAGCAACTGACTTTACAGGCAAAAGCAGAGAGGGAGATGGAGATGAAGAACTGAAGGATGGTGAACAGCAGCAATACAACATTGATTCCTGTGAAGAGAGTCTGAGAGAACATTCAACATGAGCATACAAGATAACAACAATGAGAAGTCAAGAATCTGTGGGTATACCGATGAAACTAAGTGATGCTTATTTGTGGACTACTTTCGAGGGGATCACGTGTTTATGATTGCTTGTGGCTGGTCCCGCATTATCCAATTCTTTATTCACCAATCTGACAATTCCTAAGCCCCTAAGTTCCATATAACAGCCATCTTCGTTCTGAAGAATCCCCCCCTTCCACCTCTGCTCCTCCTCCTTTCCTAGGTGGGTGGCCCAGTGGTTAGCACTGTTGCAGCAAGAACATCACTGGTTGTAGTCCTTAGCAAGCCAGCCGACGTTTCTGTGTGGAGTTTACACGTTCTCCCCGTGCTCACATGGGTTTCCTCCGAATTCCTCCCACAGTCCAAAAGCATGCAATTTAAGTCAATTGACTAATCCAAATCGGCACCATAGACATGCTCCTAGTATCTCATAAGAGCAATTACTATTTGTTCATTAGCTACTTCAGCAGGGGAGTTCTCCAGATCGACCTGAGCTCAAACTCCACTTTCACCTCCCTAACGGGAGGCAGCCCTGGGCTCGAGGATCTTATGAGCTCAGGGCTCTCTCACAGAACAAAGGCCAATCAGAACAACTACTTGAGAATTGCTAGGCTGCATTGATCAGGTCAACCAGAGCCTGCAACACTCCCCGAAAAGACACTGTAATTTGAATGGCATCTACGCTCATGCTAGTTTGTCCGTTTTTCCTTATCAGGAGGTTCACAACATCTTGGATGCAGCTGTATTCTTAGATGATTGTTGTTATAGTTGTCATTGACTTAAAGCATAAGTCTGATTCCTGCCCCAGTGACAGACAAGTCTCCATTTTGGTCCCGTCAGCTAGTCTGAACACCCTCCGTTGACCTACTCTAGTCTTGACGAACATTGTTTTCAAGCCTCTGAAATACAGAATGCAGCTCTGCACTTTTGGCTATTTGAGAACTGGTCACCCTAGCTGAACCTGGTTTATCCAAAGGTTTCTCAACCATAAATTGGTGAAGTTCTGGTTCTTTTTTCACTTTTTCCACAGGGAAAAACGAAAACATCAATGGCTAACTCCCCTATTCAAATTGTAAAGTTAATCTCATCAAAACAAAGCCAGGAAATCGGCTCATTACAGATACTCTGAATGGGCTTATGCACACCTCAGAGTATGTACAAAATTCGGGAGGGTGCACTGCTTTCAAGCCAACCAGCACTATGTTGCGGTCCATGACAGCATCCGATTTGTACCTCAAAATGAATCCCTTAACATCTGACAACACACGCAGGACAGCGACTCAGAGGTGGAGTTTGAACCTTCCCACTAAGATACGACTAGTTGTTTAACGTATTGTGATAATTTTCACGTCATGTCAAAACAAAATTTTTTCTAGAACAGGGGTGCTCAACCCTGTTCCTGGAGATCAACCTTCTTAAAGGCTGCGTCCGAAACCGCATACTTCCATACTATATAGTACGCTAAAATCAGTATGCGAGCAGAGTAGTATGTACGAATTAATAGAATTCGAAAATCAGTATGCGAGAAGTACCCGGATGACTTACTACTTCCGGCAAGATTCTGAAGTGCGCATCCCATGTACGCTGCGCTATCCCATAATGCCCTGCGAGAGAATTCATGAATAGAAGCGAGGCGACGCAACTGACGCAGGTAGGTCACGTGACCATGAAAAAATGGCGGATGTAGTACATCCGAATTCCATTCATACTTTTCACATTCATACTGTATAGAACGTACTTTTCTAACGGCCGAGTAGTACGTTTAAATTCAAATGCAGTACCTACTGAGTAATAGGCGGTTTCGGTCGCAGCCAAAGAGTTCAGCTTAAACCCTGATCAAACACACCTGAATCAATTAATTAGGACCTGAACAGCACTTGATAATTACAGGCAGGTGTGTTTGATATGGGTTGCAACTGAAATCTGCAGGAAGGTAGATCTCCAGGAACAGGGTTGGCCACCCCTGGTCTAGGTAATAGCTGTATACTCTCCGTTTGACTCGTGTACAATAATTTACCTCCAAATACGATCATTTTGAGGTTCTGATGCGATACTTTGACATTTCCAATCTGGCAACACTGCAATGGCACTTTTAACGTCAATATTTTCACCCAGTGTAAATGATCAGCACTTATTAACGCTGAAAACCATTAGACAGTTCTTTATAAGTGTACCGGATCACACAATGATCTTACTGTAATTGTGTAAATAACATACCGTATACTTCAACTCCATTTCTGCACAATAATAGTCACTGCAGTAACCGTAGAATTGTCCAGTAAGCATATCCATTGAAATGATAACAATGGCGGTGCCTGCAACTATAGCACTGAAAATGTTCATTCCAAGGGACCCTTTCACCTACAGTAAGGGCACAAAAACAGAAAAGTTAGGCAACATGTCACGCTAATTCACTGTGCTGGAAGAATATATGGAAAGTGATTAAAAAAAAAAATTGACAAATAAATTAAATATAAGGTCCAAGCACTAAAGGCTCATGCTAAAACTGAAAACATTATCAGGATAAATGTTGTATTTACTTGCATAGCCTTTGCATTCGCTTGCAAATGTGGACAAAAACTTTGTTTACTTGATCTCATCCACTGGTTAGGATGAAAAAACTAAATTCTGCTATTATGAATGACCGTCTCGAGAGATTGGAATGACATTAGAGTGAGTAATAAACTACAGAATTCTCATTTTTTGGCGAATTAACCCTTTAAGGTAGCTTTGATTAATCTTTTGTTCAAAGTTTTAATCTGAACTCAAGAACCCAGAGACATTTATTGTCAGTGATTATTGCTGATGTTTAATGCCTTGTGACTAAATAAAAGGTGCTAATGTGAGTGTGCTTGCAAAACCAGGGATAAAATCGGCATTTAAATAAACGCCTCAGGCTAATTTTATTGATTCGACACGCTGCTTTAAAAAAAAGCTGGTCAGCCAATGAGATTGGCGCTGTTCTTTACATGCCTCGAGCTTCAGCACAAATCGGTCTAGCTGGGCACACAGGAATTGCAAATCAACTCTTTTCCCATAAAAATATTGAGCAGGTGTGCTATAGTTGAGGAGGCTTACGCCACAGTTGCTGGAGAGCCGCAGCTCTGCAGAGTTTAACTTTAACCCTAATTAAACACCTAATCAAACTGAAAGTTCTTTAAGCTTGTCCAGCCTGATCTCACGAGAAAGCGTACGAATTGGTACGAGTTCAGTCGTATGAAATCGTACGATTTTAAAAAGGAGGCGTGGCACCTAACCCCACCCCTAACCCCAACCGTCATTGGGGGATGAGCAAATCGTACTAAAATGTACAAATTCGATCGTACGAATTAGCCCCAAATGAAAAAGTTACGAATTGCCGTGAGATTGTGTTGGCTTGTCTGAAACCAAGTAATTTACATATTAAGTCAATGGAAAGATGCGAATAGACATCCTGCAACGCGATACGTGCGAATGATGCAATTTGCGCAAACAAATCGGTGCAAGTTGAGCGTTTTGCGCAATCGAGTAATAAAATCTAAACTTCATCTGACATTCAAGCCACATTAACCAATCAGGAGCTTGCTCTTGTGGGGGTGTGATTATGATGTTGCGCCTGTTGTTGGTGTCCCAGGGGAAAAAATACTCCTGCCGACACCGACAACAGTTCATCAAACTGGAGTCGGCTCAGTCAGAGGCACCGCTGAAAGCCTCATCTTCCAGGTTAAGTTTCTGGAGGAGTTGATGAACTCACAGAACTGGGTGCACCTCTAAATGGATCTAGTGAACAAATCGACGCTGTTTTTTAGCCTTGCTAAAGCACATAGACACAGCTATTCTCTCATTAAGATCCATGTTAGATCCAAGAAGCTCTGCCTATCACACGAAGCCGTGTCTGTTGTGAGGTGAATTTGACCCACGATTGAAGCTGAATATTGCGCAAATATCGTGATTTATCAGCGCTTGTCGCATCTGGTGGGAACACAGCATTAGACTTAGTATACAGATATGTTATTCTATTTTTTTATTGGCAAATGTCAAGTTGTAAATGATGCTGTAAATGATGTCAAGCTGAAAATGAATTGTGTTGCCTTCACAAGGTCACATTTGTGAAAGATGTGTGTTTTTAGAATGTTTAGTTCACCAATGTCATCATAATTCTTTCATTAATGAACAACTTCTAGGATTTATATTTCAGTTAAACAACAGTCTAGTCGGAGTTTGAAATAAGTTTTATTATTATTAAATATATAAGGAGTTTTAAGTTTTAGATCTTACAAATAGCAATATCTGTTTCCGATACACCAATGTATGCACATATCCTTACAGACCAAGTCAATTGCAAGCGCCCAGTGCTTAGACCCATGAAAAGAACAAGTGTTGTGTACATACCAAACATAAATTGGTTGGTGAATTACGTTTGTTTTCAGCATCAATGGCGAGTGAGCCTGCAGTAATGTACTGAGAACAGAGAGAAGAGCAAAAATCAAAGCTTATATTGGAATACATACCAGTGGTATTCAACCAGAATGAGCATTTTACTGCCACATGAACCATTCTCTCAACTACTAAATGCAATTTGCATCCTTACAATCCAGTCTCACGTCAGTTAGTCACACAGTCACAGAATTTCATCTATGTGTATTGTTCGTATTTTTGCACAACACGGCCATTTACTAATGAGGTATCTGATGTGTCCCCACTGTCCAGGGACATTTTTGTCCTTAAAAATAATTGGATATAGACTGCTTCATATTTGAGCTTTAAGCGTCTACATTTTCTAATAAATGCACGGTCTTAGAAAACACAGGTAGGGAAGGTGGATCAAATATGAATGGCCAATAAGCTTCATGATCCACTCAGATGGTAAAACTAAACATGTGAAACTCTAAAAAATTTGCTATATTGCTTTTTAATCCATAAAAAAATCTGCCAACTTGCACCTGACACTGCCATAAATACTCACCAATGCTTAGATTTATTTGCATTTGACAATTGGTGGGTGTTAATTATAGGGATGCCTTAAAACGGTCTGGCCTTCCAGTAAAAGGTCTTCCCATTTGAACTGTCTCAGTCTTTGCACATGTTAACCAAAGTAGGGGATAAGAGCATCTGCATTCACCTTGAAGACTGGCTTATCCTACACGTTAGTCTTGAGATTTGTTGTCGAATCATAGACATGTAGTGCTACAGCACCCAAGCCAGTTTGGGCTTCAAATCAGCTGGTAAACGAGCAAGTAACCTATACGAAACATCTCTTTACTTGAGGTGGAGAAGAAATCCAACCTAAAAAGTAAGTCTCACCAAGTCTGGAGTGCTGTGTAGAAGGAGCATATGAGTTCAACAGGTTCCTTAGAGCAGGGGTCTGGAGGCCTGGGGTCCAGCAGAGCTTAGCTCCAACTTGCTTCAACACACCTGCCTAGAGGTTTCTGGTATACCCAGTAGGAGCTAGGTTAACTGATTCCAGTGTGTCTAATTGGGGTTGGAGATATGCAGGACACCAACCCTCTAGAACCAAGTTGGCCATCCCTGCCTTAGAGGAACCACAAGTTTAACCCTTCCTCTTGTACCCCTATGTAGATAGATCCCTTTAAGCCACTAGGCGAGTTTAAGATCCTCTCTCTTAAAAAGGGCCACTGGACTGCTCACTTCCATCAAGCTGGGGGATGGCAGAAATCTTCAAGATCTACAGAAACAGGGGCTGGCTCAGTCAATAGTGGGTGCCATCACCTTGGCTTACCAGATACACAGCAAGGTGTGGGAGTAAGGGCTCACTTAAGTGTTGTGGCACCTCTCTAGCAGATATCTGTAGAATTGCAGGCTTGTTGAAGCCCATCCATAAGATTCTACAACCTCCAATAATTGTTGGCTAATTAGTGAGGACATTTGGTTCAGTGAGACGCTTGCAGCTTACCAGGGACTACAGGTGAGAGTTTTTCTCTTCTGGTCAGTCCCCCATCATATTAACACCTTTAGCAATTCAGTTGTGAATTTCTGACAACAGTCCCAAGACTTGTAAGCCCTCTAGTTTAAATCCTGTACTGGTCTAGACACCCAATGTGGATGATTCCCTGAAAGGTTAACAGCAGGTCTATTTCCCTGAGAGTAAACTTATAAAAGTTCTGTCTCTCTGTCCTTTCTCTGTCCAATCCTTATTAGTTATAACATATGTAGTGTACTTTCACGTGTAGCATTCCCGGTAGAATCAGGCCACATGTTACTCCCACATGTACAGCGGCTGGACAATGAAACTGAAATGCCTGATTTTACACCACAGGGATTCATTAGTTACGTGTATGGCCTGCTTTTGCGGCCAATACAGTAGCAATTCCTCTTGGGAAGGACAAGATAAAAGTCCTGCACAGTTGCCAGAGGGATTTTGAGCCATTCATCTTGCTGAATAGTGACCAGGTCACTACGTGATGCTGGTGGAGGAAAACGTCCTCCAAAACATTCCAAAGTGGCTCAATAATATTTATATCTTGTGACTATGCAGGCCATGGGAAATGCTTGACTTTATTTTCATGTTAATCACACCATTCTGTCACCCGTCTTGCTGTGTGTATTGGTTGGTAATTATCCTGGTACATGGCACCGCCAGGATACAATGTTTGAACTATTGGGTGCACAAGGCCCACTGGTTTTTTAGTCCTTGGCATTGATGTGCTCATCTCACACAAATATTTAGCCTAGGGAATGCCATGATATTGCAGCCCGAACCATCACTGATCCGCCCCCATGCTTCACAGTCTGGGTGGTGTGCTTCTTTGGGGTTTCTCCACACTAACTCTCCTGGATGTGGAAACAACAGTGAAGGTGGACTCATCAGAGAACAATACATGCATCACATTGTCCTTAGCCCAAGATTTGAAACCAATTGAAACCAATGTTTGGCACGAGTGAGCAAAGCTTTGGCTATAGCTGCCAGCCATGTATATTGACCCAGTGGAGCTCCTCATGAACAGTTCTGAGGTGGACTCTTTTTTGGACACAATCAGGGTTTGCACCTGGACCTCCCTTTCAGACAGCTTCCTCTAGTGTCCACAGTTACACTTGTTGGATGGGGTTCTTCTTCTTGGTGGTGTGCTGACATTACTCTTGGCATCGTGGCTCATGATCATCACAAAGACTTGCTGTCTTGGACAAAGATTCTCATTTAATGCACATTTGTCCTCTTTTGAACTCTGATATGTTACCCTTAATGCAATATTTTAAGCAAAACTGTTCTACTACTCTGCTAATTAAACTTTAACACTCTCTTACTGGTAGAAGGTGCGATCAATCAAAGATTGGCCACCAGTTTAGTCTTGAAACCTCAGACACTAAATTAACCAGTGTTTTAGTTTCATCGTCCAACCCTAGGTAGGGTTGTGCCTAGGTAGGATGTAGTCTCTCCTGGCAGAATTACAACCCATATGTATGGAGTCTTATTCATAGGTCTGTTTTCTTACTACTCAGAAGTGATTGGTCTCTTAAGTAGATCCCCTAATGCCATTACAACATATATCATAAACTACTGGAAGTTTAAACCAAACTAAACTCAAATATTAGTCACTAATAATCTATAGTCTATTAGCCAAAACATTATGTATTTCTTGACTAATCAATCATGAATGAGTATTATAATACAATATTGTTATTCGTTATTTTGTTTTCAATTCTAAATGAGTTATTATCAAGCAGTGCTGACTAACTTTCCATTTCGTGCCACCCGGTCTAGATTTTGCGAATGAGTGTCATGCGACTGTGTTTTATTTGTTGTTATATCTCTTTAGTGGCTGTAAATGTGACAGTAATTTGCATTCTGGTTGATTATTCACTGTAGCTTGTGTTATCCATGGCAAAACGCTGCTGTGGGATTGTTTCTTACGAGGACAGATCCCCAGTAAGGAGCGCCACTGAAGACGAAGATGGAGGCTGCATCAATTGTAGATGCGATTCCCAACAGGAGAGTAAACAGACCGATCATTATCTGGACAGTCTGTGAGGAATAAGAGAGAACAGTGTAAGATGGACGAGATGTTCTTTTTACAGTAAATTCCTGTTCTATGACTGTACACATGGATTTGTGGACAGTAAATATTTGCTCAGCACTTCAGCCGTTTTAGTGGTTTGCTCCTAAAACATTCTAATAAGTAATTATCTAAATTTATCTTCTGGATTATAAACATTATCAGATGACTGTACAATTGCGAAGGCACCAAGCCAATAAACTTATAATAACCTATTAAGGTCATTAAAATGGTGTATGTTGTGTGCTAAAATTCATACTGACATCAAAATCAATTGTTTTATATACCAGAGAGATTTCTCACCCCGAGGGCTTTTGGTTGGCCTTTCACAAAGGCCTTAATTCCTTGACAAGGTAAAACTCTTGCTACACGCCGTATGTAAACAGGCGCAGGAGAGCTGGTCCCAGTCACAATCGGTGCTGTTTGTGTCGGTGGTTGAATCTGGATGACGATCGTTGAAGGATTCATGGCTCCGGCAGTCGACATTTTGGTTTCAGAGTATGACCTGTACAAAATCCTGATAAATCAAATTTTACAATTTTTACATTTAAAAAATCTTATTAATTTAGTATATACTATTTTTAATACACTCATAAATGCAGTTATGGTATAGTAATTATTGACACTGGTATAGATTTATCGTCATCAACCCTGTTAGGAACTAAAAACTCAATATACAGTTTAACAGATTTTAGCTCCATCTTTCCTCAACACACCTGTAATGCTGCGTTTATACCAGACACGGAACGCGCGTCAAGCGCGAGTGATTTACATGTTTAGTCAATGCAAACATGCGAATAGACATCCTGCGGCACGATACGCACGAATGGCGCGGAGCGAATGACGTGAATTGCGCGGTGCGAATAGCGCGATACGCACGAGACGAATTGGGCGTTTTGCGCGTTTGACGCGCTTAACAAGCATTTCGCGCGAATCTCTCGAGTTCGAAAATCTGAACTTCAGCGGACATTTGCGCCGCATTAACCAATCAGAAGCTTGCTCTTGTGGGGGTGTGATTGTGACGTAGAACCTGTTGATGACGTCCCGGGGAAAATCCTCCAGGAGACACCGACAACAAGTCATCAAACTGGGCTTGGCTCAGTCAGAGGCACCGCTGAAAGTCTCCATCATACAGGTTCAGTTTCTGGAGGAATTTAAGAGTTCAAAGAGCTGGATGCACCCCTGAAAGGATGTTGTGGACTCAAACGTATCGACGCTGTTTTTCAGTCTTCATAAAGCACATAAACACTGTTATTTTCTTCAAAAAAAACCATGTTAGCCATTTAGCTATGAAGCTAGAGTCACCGGGCAGACAGAAGCCCTGCTCATCATGCGAATCCGCGTCTGTTCTGAAGTGAATTTGACGCGCGAATGAAGCGGATTTCACGCCTGAATGAAGCGGGGTTTGACGCGCGAATGAAGCGAGTAAACTCAAATGTTCACACGCCAATTTACGCGCCAATAGCGCGTTTTATCCGCGCGTTCCGCATCTGGTGTGAACACAGCATAAGGATAATTCTAGGAAGCCTAGCAAGAGTTTGATTAGCTAGCCCAGGTGTGTCTGATTGAGGTTAGAACTAAACTTTGCAGGACACCGACCTTTAGGACCGAGTTTGGACAGGTCAAGTTTAAATGAACCCAGTTTGTTTACGATTGACAAGCCATTAACTAAGCCACTTACTACCAAATAAACTATTGTGTTTTTTTTAAATACAGACATAATTCAAAAGCAGATACGTGTATAAATGTAGTCATATGTACTCCAAGTATATAAAAGATTGTCTTACCAGAAACAGAATCCTCTCTTCAGCTGGACTTCACTCTCAGTTCAGCTAGCGCTTCTGAGACACGCCGGCACAAAGTCTATGTTTTATATGCAATTGCTCATATTGTTTCCCGATAGGTAAGAGGAAGCATGTGATGATGGATGGCAAAGATCATCATTTCATGGCATAATAAAGTAAACAGCATAAGTCAATAATAGTAAAAGTATTAAGAAAGGCATCTATGTTATAACAAGTAAGCTGCCTCCCTGTTTGGTAACCAGGTGAAACTGCAAAGGGTCACTTTGGCATATCTGTTAGTGTAGCACATAGGCCGTGACCATTGGGGTTTATGGTTTTATTGATCCTGTTGATTTCACATGTATGTTTACATTAAAACTGCATGAACTGAATGTAACAAAGTTCGAATCATGTGGGTGAGGTAGATTGCAACGTAGGCGACTGAGGTAAGAAAGGTAAAAAAGTGAGGCAAACACTTTTTTTATTGAAGTTTCTCAATGTGGCATACACTTTCTCAGGCTTGTCTCGATCCGTGGTCCTCTGGCAGCTCCTTAGTACAGCCTCTTTTTCCCAATTACTGCAATGACAGACAGGTGTTAATAAGATAGTTGATTCGACCTATCTTTCAGACGTCTATCTTTTCAGCTCCTTTAACATGCAATCCCTCTGTGCGGGCGGTTCGACCACATCCCCCTTCCCTGCTGAAAAATCCAGCTTAAACCAGCCTAGGCTGGTTGGCTGGTTTTAGCTGGTCAGCCAGGCTGGTTTTAGAGGGGTTTTGGCCTTTTCCAGGCTGGTTTCCAGACATTTCCAGCCTGGTCTTAGCTGGTCAGGTTGGGAGATGACCAGCCAAACTAGCTATGTCCAGCTTAAAGGGCCATGAAACCCCCTCGTTTCAGCAGGGTGTTTTCACACCTCTACTTTGGAAAAAGTCAGAAAAGTGGGCGTGTCCAGCTCTGTTTAGGGGGGAGTGTCGGAGGAACTAAAGTGGGAGGGTGTGGGAGTGTCTATTTGTGCACGCGCGCGAGTTTCAGAGTCAAAATACACACCCACACACACAGGAGAAAGAGATGGTGTTTAACCTACATGGACATCTGTAGTCGAATTATTTGCCAAATTATTAAATGTTGGACTTTAACTGCAGTTTGGCTCTTTCATTCAGGGAATTCATTCATGTCTCTCGCGACAAACGAGATATTTGATTCGAGGAACTGCTGCAAGCCTGTATTTTTCATGCAATGTTTGATACCGCACGGCAAATGAGAGAAAAAAAAACTCTGCATTTCCCGGAAACTTAGATGCACACAGCAGGTAGCGTCAGAAAGCCGCGTGTGTTATTCCGGTCACAAAATGCGGTGCTAACATTTCTGCACGCAGTGCAATAGTTAACTTAATTCGATACGAACAAACTGAATAAACAAAGAGCACTGGTCGCTCACTTACCAAATCTGTAGAGACAGAACAATCACCAGCAACTAGAGCCGCGTCTTTATGAAGAGAATACTACAAGCAAATCCAGATTTTAGCGTTTGCAGATGAGAACAGCTCTCAGGTAAACAATAATCCTTCTTAGACACGTAAGTTATTGTTGTCGCGCGTCGCGTACACTGTTAATCTACACGTGATCCAGATGAGCTCTCACAGAGAGAAAATGAAAACAAAACTTAACAGCAGCAAACTATAAAAGCAACACTTCACGCTTGTTTTGCCAACACAACGTGGCGTCTTTGTGGGGTAAACACGGTGACAATAATGAATATTAATGAAGGTGCACAATAGAGCGCGCTGATTGGTTTGAACCAAGCCTTACTCATGCATTAATGCAGCACACTGTAAGACGTAATAAGACACACTCTGGCACAGACGTCCAGTCTGCACGCTGGAATACACGCTATTATCTCATGACCGTGACGCAGCTTCAAAAATTCGTTTCAAACAGGAAGTACAAATTTGCTTGAAATAACGCAAAAACAACCAATTTACACTTTTTAGTGAAATATAGGTGTCCTAATAGTGTTTTTAGCCGTGTGGGACACATATACCACTGTCAACAGCTCAAAAAATGTGTTTTGGTGTTTCGTGACCCTTTAAACCAGGCTGGTCAAGCTGGTTTTAGCTGGTCATTTTCCAGCCTGACCAGCTAAGACCAGGCTGGAAATGGCCGGAAACCAGCCTGGAAATGGCCAAAACCCCTCTAAAACCAGCCTGGTTGACAAGCTAAAACCAGCCAACCAGCCTAGGCTGGTTTAAGCTGGATTTTTCAGCAGGGTTGTGACACCCCCTGCCTGTGGATCACCTTGATTTTAAGGCCCAATCCCAATTCTATTTTTGTACCCCTCCCCTTAAAACCGAGTGTGGGAGGGGCTTCAAAATCTAAATTGGTGGAGGACACGTATATTAACCATAGGCACACGCTGCGATGACGGCCCTTTCCTTCCTCCTCCGTCTCAAAGTCATTTTAAAGTTGGGCGAACTTCACCTGTTTCTTCCATCGTCGCTAGTGTGGCGCAGAGGCTAGAACTCGTCTTTAAGCATAGGCGCCATCGTAAATTGTATGGCACAGGGGTGTTCAAACTACGGCCCGCGAGTCATCTGCGGCCCGCGATCAGTTTTGTGGCGGCCCACGAGGCTTTTTATAAATTTCAATAGAATCTGGCCAGCTATACAAAAAGGAACGTAATTCAATAAATAACCACCGGGTGTCGCTATCACATGCATTCAATTAAGCAGCAGTTCTTGTTATGATCTATCTACCTATCTATCTATCTATCTATCTATCTATCTATCTATCTATCTATCTATCTATCTATCTATCTATCTATCTACACACAGTTGAAGTCAGAATTATTAGCCCCTCTTTGATTTATTCCTTCTTTGTTAAATATTTCCCAAATTATGTTAAACAGAGCAAGGACATTTTCACAGTATGTCTGATAATATTTTTTCTTCTGGAGAAAGTCTTATTTGTTTTATTTCGGCTAGAATTAAAGCAGTTTCTAATTTTTTATGAACCATTTTAAGGTCAATTATTAGCCCCTTAAGTCTTCAGAACCAACCATTGTTATAAAATAACTTGCCTAATTACCTTAACTTGACTATTTAACCTAATTACCCTAGTTAAGCCTTTAAATGTCACTTTAAGCTGTATAGAAGTGTCTTGAAGAATATCTAGTCTAATATTATTTACTGTCATCATGACAAAGATAAAATAAATCAGTTATTAGAAATGAGTTATTAACACTATTATGTTTAGAAATGTGTGGAAAATCATATAAATATATATATATATATATATATATATATATATATATATATATATATATATATATATATATATATATATATATATATGCGTGTCTGTGTGATGCATGTAAAATTTGGCCCGGGACGTTTTTTTTTTTTTTGCATCTGGCCCTCGGCCCAAAAAGTTTGGACACCCCTGGTATAGCAAGTGTAAACACAAGAAAAAGATATGGGTCACAGTTAAAAGAACGTGTAAACAAACAGGCAAACAAATCAGATACAGGCAACAAATCAGAGTTGGGCATCAAGACCTGACAGTGTAAACGTGAGACTTAGAGACCACCAGTACAACACCAGATTGGGATGGAGAGAAGGAGGGGACTGTAAAGGTTACTACCTGCGGGCGTGACTCCAGCCCATTTCCACCCCAGCAGACCAGATATCACAGCTGCTGGGCACCTTGTCTCTCCATTCATCAAACCTACTGGGTGCCGGTCAGGGTGATGCAGGAAGTCTGGACCAAGGATTTGGTAGAGCAGGAGAAAAAGAGCTGAAGAGAGAGGGGAAAGAGAGCTTCTGCCATGGAACAGTATTAGCACGGGCATTTAGTATACATGCAGTTTTTAAGAGTATAAATGAAAATATGTCAAACACTGACACCTAGTGGACATCTTATTATATTAACTCTAGTCTGCTTCAGCCTTTGCACACGTCACTCAGAAAACAGGAAGCTGACAAGAGGAGATACTGAAACACACAGGCTTAAAGAAAACATTACATTTAATAGGAAAACATCCAACTGGATTGTGTGATAATTGTCAGGAGGAGGAATCAGTTGAACATGTTTTATGTTGCTGCAAGAAATTCATAATAGAAAGAGAAATATTAAAGAAAGAAATTATAAAACAAAACTTTTCAGAAATCAGCGTAAAAATTATACTTGGAAACGATAACAATGAAAGTTTAGTGAAATATCTAAGGAAAACAGGATTAATTAACAGGATTTAAAAGAATAAAGATGTAGGTAAATGTTAATAGGAAAAAATTATTTATTTTTTTTGAGGTGAAAAACTCAGGCTCACACTCCAGTACAGTAGGTGGCGGTAATGCACCAAAAGTTGGTTGCCGACTGCCATAAAACAGCAAAGAAGAAGAAGAAGGAGGAGATACTGAAGTATAGCTGCTGTGTGTTTGCGTCTCTCTTCATTCACAGAGTGAAATGGCCGAAGCCAGAATTTCTCAGGATGAGTTCACTTGTCCTGTGTGTCTGGATCTCCTGAAGCATCCAGCGGCCATTCCCTGTGGCCACAGTTACTGTAAGAGCTGCATTACGGACTGCTGGGATCAGGAGGAGGAGAAGGGAGTCTACAGCTGCCCTCAGTGCAGACAGACCTTCAGTCTCAGACCCGCGCTAGCTAAAAACACCATCCTGGCTGAAGTGGTGGAGAAACTGAAGAAGACCAAACCTCCTGCCGACTGTTGTGCTGGAGATGTGCCGTGTGACGTCTGCACTGGAGGAAAATACACGGCTGTGAAGTCCTGCCTGGTGTGTCTGAGCTCCTACTGCGAGTCTCATCTCGAACAACACGAGAGTTTATTTAAAGGGAAGAGACACCGTCTGACTGAAGCCACTGGACGACTGCAGGAGATGATCTGCCATGACCATGACAAGCTCCTTGAGGTTTTCTGCCGCACGGATCAGAAGTGTATATGTCTGCTGTGTACGATGGACGAGCACAAAAACCACGACACAGTCTCAGCTGCAGCACAGAGGACAGAGTCGCAGGTGCGACCTTACAGAGCACAGAGGGATATCTAGTATAGCGACTCATATTTCATTCTGAACTGTTTCATTATCATAAATTCAACAACCAGTTCTGACTATTTTCTCATTCCCTCTGTCTTCATGTTAAAATTAGTGGTACAGTAAGTAATAACTAAGCATTAACGGCACGTATTGTTGCCTGTTGTTGTGAAACAACTGAGATATTGACGCAGGTCAAGGTTCACATCCAGCTGGGTGCAGTTCAAACCATGAATCTGTTTCTTTAGACTTTTAGTAAGAGTGAATCAATAGAGGGCGTCACAGTGGGTCAGGCCCGGCGCTACGGGGGGGCAAAGGGTGGCATTGCCCCCTCAGAAAAAGTTTGTGCCCCCCAGTTTTCTTAAGGGATTGTTCACTCAAACTGAAAATTCTTTCTGTCGTTAATTATTAACACTCCCGTCGTTCCAACCTTCAGAAAACACATTTAAAAATTTTAAAATATATGACATAGCAATTGAATTATGAAAATGGTGAGATTAAAGCTAATCCTATAGTCCAGAGACAGTGGCGCAAAAAGGGGGTATGCAGTATATGCAGTGCATAGGGGCGCCACACATGGGGGGCGCCATTGTGCCAAAACTATTTGAAATTATCCATATTAAAAGTTTCAAATAATGTATATATTTTTTTTGTTAAAATTTTTTATTTAGCATTTTATACGTGTATAATATTGTATTTTATTAAATTAAAAATCGTTCCACCCCTCCCCCCATTTTTTATACCATATACATGTTTTTATTAATTTATTATGTATCATATTGATTCATCAGGCCTTTTGGTAACTTCTTAGCTCAAAACTATTTTAATTTTAGCTACAAACAAAGTTATAACATTTCAATTAAATAGAACATTTGTTTGTTTCTGTTTTTTTTACACTAAACATTTGACAGTCTTTTTTATTTCACTTTTAGCAGTTTCAGTCAATTGTTCTTGCAAAGACAGACCTTCTGCCTCAGTCTGAATGTGAGAAGTAATTGCAATGTTCTTTTGCCCTTTAGGACTCCCATGTCTGTCATTTTGTTTTGACAAATGTAGAACAAAAAGTCCAAAAGCAAGGCTAGTCAAGGTGCTATAATCATTTAGTAAGTGAAAATTAAATTGAGAAGAAATTTGGGGTGGTATGAGATGCATTTCTTTGCGACTTAACATGCTTAATGTAATTATACCTTTTACTACTTCAAACTATTTCAGGTGTGTTCAGAACTGAGAAACTGTTTGTTTTAAGCATATTGATATCTTTATGAAATAATATCTTTATTTTATTGATGGAAATATTTTCCACATTTTATCACTTGCCTGTTTTAAAATATAGTTGGATTGAAGGGGGGCGCGCAAAAGTTGAAGCCGCATACCCATCAGTAAATGTGCAGTTGCGCCCCTGTCCAGAGATCCGGTCCCCGCGTCAGGTCTGGTGCGCCCGTAAATAGCCTTCAAAACGCGCACACGGCGATGGAGGCGCACTCAACTCACAACGGAGAAAAGTGGGTGACATGATAGGAGCAGCTTAATTCATTACATGTTTTGGTTAACTAATTATTTAAACACAACTTTCTTGAGCGCTAAAAGGAAAAAACACATAAGACATAAAACATAATTTGCTGTTAAATTAATTTTAGCAGAGACGCAACTGCCAGTCATTTATTAGTTATTCGGGAAGATGTAGCCTAATAAAAATAAATAGTTTACTGCACAGTCCCACAGTAGGCTACACTATAAATAATATTTTAATTTATTTATTAATATAATTATTATTATTATTACAATTAAGCTAAAATTGACAAAACGCAGAACCCTTTGAATGTTTGCTTTCATTTTGCTAAAAAGCACACTTTTACAGTTGTGTAGAGAAACATCCCATTATGCAGCAGCAGTCAAGGTATACACATAATAAATGCCTTTTGGGTTTAAAGATGATCGGCCTGCGAAGTCAAGTTTGCAGTGTTATAAACGGAATAGGTATAGTGAAATTTAAGGTAGGTTAAGTTTATTTACCGCAAATCAACCGAGAAATCTCGTGCGCTGCAGGCAGGCAGAATGATAATCTTTTAAAAATATGTAATTTAGGCTATACTGCTATCTGCTCATGCAAAATTAAACAACATAAAATATATTGTAGATCTATTTTAAGAGCTAAAATACAACATATCGAGTTTGTTTTGACTTGTAACTCATGGCCCTGAAATTAAAATAACCTGAAAACAAGCTATTAAGAAAGGCTTAATAAATAAAATAATTAATAAATAAAATGACGGGTAGGCTTAGTAACCTTATGGTTTATGATGGTTTACAATATCACGAAAAAAGCACACTTACGATAGCCTAAGATAAAGCTTTGTTTTTACATTTAAAATGATAAAAAAAAGTTATATAGCATGTTGAGTTGCGTGTAATCTGTGTCAAAATTTAACCAATTTCCACGGTAATAACTGTGAATTTTGGTATGTTTTTTAGGTGTTTTTCTGGCTACACTAATGCATTCAAATGTAACTAAGTAATTGTTTTAAATTACATTAAATTGTAACATTTAGCTTTTCCCTAACACTGATGTTGGTTGGATAATATGCTACGTGAAGTGTGATGACTCGGTTAAGCTGATTTCACTATATTTATTTACCGGTTAAATGAATAGTCTGATCGTGGGTCAGCTTGCATGTGTGGGCATAATTTGACGTCTTTACCTAAAACTTTAAACATTTATAAACCTGTTATTTAAAATAAAACAAAAATAAGGAGAATAACATATGATTTAAAGCACTCGTTTAAATTTAAATTTGTAATAAGCGGTATGCATTACCATCGTTAATAAAATATGCAAAACTGCATATTGTTTTTACTATTAAAACGTAGCCTATATTACTGCCTTAGGTCAGTAACTTAGGCAGTAATGCAAAGTAATAATAAATGTGAATAAATAGCCTAAATGAAAGAAACAAGAGACCAAAATCAGTCACCAGGTCTAGTGCCCCCCTATGGATTTAAAGTGCCCCCTCAGTTTTGACTTCCTGGCGCCGGGCCTGCAGTGGGTATCACGACAGCAAGAAGGTCGCTGGTTCGAGTCCTGGCTGGGTCAGTTGGCATTTCTGTGTGGAGTTTGCATGTTCTCCCTGTGTTGGCGTGGGTTTCCTCCGGGGTTTTTCTCCCACAAGTCCAAAGACATGTGCTATAGGTGAACTGGGCAAGCTAAAATGTGCGTAGTGTAAGAGTGTGTATGGGTGTTTCCCACTGATGGGTTGCAGCTGGAAGGGCATCCACTGTGTAAAACATGCTGGATAAGTTGGTGATTCATTCTGCTGTCGCGACCCCTGATTAATAAAGGGATTAAGACAAAATGAATGCCATTTGAGCAGTGGATTAGTAGAGATCTTGAGAAATTAATATGTGGTTATGAGTTAGCATCATTAGCATAATTGAATTAGCTTGACTTATGATGCTTCTTGTTCCTGTTTTGTCCTCCAGAAGCAGATGAAGGAGACACAGAGCAAGATCCAAGAGAGAATCCAGCAGAGAGAGAGAGACCTCCAGCAGCTGAAGGAGGCTGTTGAGTCTCACAAGGTCAGTCTTGAGAGGAGACGTTGGGTTCAGGCTTGGTTAGAACGCTACTCTTTCATTGAAGCCCACTGTGTGATTGTGGTCAACAGCGCTCAGCACAGACAGCGGTCGAGGACACGAAGAGGATCTTCACTGAGCTCATCCAGCACATTGAGAGAAGCCGATCCGAGGTCACTCGGCAGATCCGAGATCAGGAGAAATCTGCCGTGAGTCGAGCTGAAGAAGGACTGGAGCGGATGCAGCAGGAGATCAATGAGCTGAGGAGGACAGACGAGGAGCTGGAACAGCTTTCAGAAATACAGGATCCCGTTCATTTTCTGCAGGTAACAGAGTAATCATGAGCAGGATCCTGCTGGGAACAGAGGCTCACTATGTAAATGCAAATCCTGAGTGGGAGAGACTAGAATTAGTTCATTAATCAGGTTCCAACTTGGTTTGACACTTTTTAGGATCCCCTTTAAACATTCGTGTGCTGTTTGTACTGGAGATTTGTAGTGTTTCTGTAATGTTTTCATAAGTTGCAGTGTGTTAAGCATCCTCCATTATTTGAACACATTTTTAATGGTTGACACAATGTATTTCAATGTTAACTCAAGATGTTTTGAAAGTGGCAAAACTAGAATTAGTTGCTCTGATCTCAGATGCCAACATTTTAGAATAAAGTAAAGGTGCTTAATTGACCCTTCACAAAGCCCTACTATCTTCTCACCCTCCGACATTTGTTTAGTATCTCGCTTCTCTTTCCATTTCCAAATCTCCTCATCCACCACCAATGTACAGCATCTACCTGGGTGATGCGACGGCAGCCATATTGCGCCAGAGCACACTCACCAGCTGATGAGAAAAGGAATGATGAAGCCATTTATCGTATGGGAATGTTTAGGAGGCCATGATGGACTGAGGCCAGTGGGCGAATTTGTCCAGGATGCCCGGGTTAAACCCCTACTCTTTTTCAAAGGACATCCTGGGATTTTTAAGACGGCGCTCATTGAGCAGTACAGTGTCCCCTTCAATATACTAGAAGAGGGATTACCAAACTTGTCCTGGAGGTCCGGTGTCCTGCAGATTTTAGCCCCAACCCTAAACAAACATACCTGAACGAGCTAATGAAGGTCTTACTAGGTATTCTTGAAACACCCAGGCAGGTGTGTTAGGGCAAGTTGGAGCTAAACCCTGCAAGGCACCGGACCTCCAGGAACGAGATTGGTGACCCCTGTACTAGGGTATTAGGACCCACACAGACCACAGTTTGAGCACCCCCTCCTGGCCTCATTAACACCACTTCCAGCAGCGACCTAGCTTTCCCATGTGGTCTCCCATCCAGGTACTGACCAGGCTCAGCCCTGCTTAGCTTCAGAGGGTGTGACACATATGAAAGTTGCAAAGCGCTAGCTGAATACCATGTATACGCAATCTCCAACAAGAATATAATGCAATATATATGAGATAGGCTATGTGGATTAAGTTGGCACACCGGTCATCTTACGAGTCCTCAGATAGTTTACTGGTAAATGGCAGGTAACATCTCCATAGACTAAAGTTTCATGGGCTTTCCAATAACAGACAGGTTAATTTATTCCAGGGGTGTCTAAACTCAGTCCTGGAGGGTTGGTGTCCTGCAGTTGTTGAGACTCCAACTTGCCTCAACACACCTGCAATGTTTCTAAAGCCTAGTAAGAGCTTGATTAGCAAGCCCAGGTGTGTCTGATTGGGGTTGGAACTAAACTTTGCTGGACACCGAGTTTGGACATGCCTGGTTTAATCAGTCTCGAGTAGGCTACTTACGTTTGGAGTATTGTTTTATTTGGCTGTAAAGTTAAAGTGATGAGGTCTGATTGTTTTTTTTGTTTTTTTCAGAATTTCCAGACTCTCTCTGCATCTCCTAAATCTACAGCTGTAACTGACAATCCCTTAAGATTTCTCAACTCTTTTGATGGCATGAGAGAATCTATCCAACAGCTGGGGCAGACACTGCAGAATTTGTGCAGAGAGGAGCTCCAAAAGACCTCTGGCAAGTGTAAAGTCCCTTATCTCACATTGTGAGGAACATCATTTAGGAATTAAGATCAGTTTCTTTAGAAAAGAGCCTAACACCATTTATGTTGATTGACTTCCACAGCCTCGGTCACCAACACTATTCCCAAGACAAGAAAGGACTTCTTACAATGTAAGTTATTTTAAAAGACAACTTAAGATCATTTAAAAGGTCAAAGTACACATGATAGAAGAGTTTGGAAGCTGATCCTGCAAATGGTGATTTGCACTGGATATTGTGCTTCTGTTGTCAGCCCGAAACCTTGCTGTTATTATAAACAAGTTTAATTACATTAAAAGATCATAATTTCTGATGCTTTTTCTCCTGACCAGACTCCCTTCAGCTCACTCTGGATCCCAATACAGTGAATGAACACCTTCATCTTTCCAATGGAAACAGAGCGGTTAATGGTTCTCTTAAAGCGTGGCCGTATCCCGATCATCCAGAGAGATTTGAAGAGTTACAGGTGTTGTGCAGAGAGAGTGTGTGTGGACGCGGCTACTGGGAGATCGAGTGGAGAGGTGATTATGTGTCTATAGTCGTGTCATATAAGAGAATCTGCCGGAAGGGACCAGGTCGTGAACATTATTTTGGTGGTAATGACCTATCCTGGAGTTTGGAGAGCTCTAACTACGAATACACTTTCAGGCACAATAATATAGAGACTGAGCTTCCTGCTAATCCCCTCTCCTTATGCCATAGAATAGGAGTGTTTGTGGATCACAGTGCAGGAACTCTGATCTTCTACAACATCTATAGAGACACAATGAGCCTCATCCACTCAGTCCAGACCACATTCACTGAGCCGCTCTATCCTGGGTTTTGGGTTTATTCAGTTGGGACATCAGTAAAACTGTGCTGATGAATTATAATAAATTAGCAAGAGATTAAACCCATAATCCACTGCAGGATCAGCCAGTAACAGTGAGATGAAAAGACTCCAGAGCATCTCACTAACACTCATGCTGAACATTTGTCACTGTAATAAGAATCACTGCATTTGACTTCATGCCGGCTAGAAATTCGGTCTGAATTGACTGTAACGTGGCCATCAAAGTAAAAATGGAGTTAACTTGTTAACAATGGTTCGGTAGCGGAACCACGTCTCACTTTGTCTCCTTAACCAATCACCTACTGCCCAAAAACTTCAGGCAGACCAGCCCTCTAGCACTGTTCAACTCGTTCTCTCAAACCCATCCTCCCTTCATTTCCACGCTTTCTTTTAACAATCCTATAACCCTGTCTTGTCACCTAGGTGGAATTGGGGGGTCCTATCACTCTACCAAAATAATACAGAGATGGTACCCCAAACTCTGAGTTTCAGGGCATCAACGATCAACCTACCCACCTGTTTACTGTTTATCCTCTTACTTCCCTTCCCCTTCATCCCACTGTTCCCCTACCATCCCTACAATAAAGTCTAGCTCAAAAGTGTGGCATGGTCCATGCTGGTGAAATAATTGTTAATGAACCAAGATTGTCTGAACAAGCTCTGAATGTAACCCTCTGAATAAAAACCAGAGCACCCGAAGGAAACATGGGGAGAACATGCAAACTCCACAAGGAAATGGCAAGGCTCAATCCTTCTTGCTGTGAGAATACGCCACAGCATCGCCAACGGCAGATTACAAAGTGTTAACGCCTTTATTAAACTTCTCATGTGAATGTTTACGTTCTAATAAAAACTCCTGTGATAAACAACTTTAATCTCTGAACTGTAAATAAGTCAATATAAGACGCTGCACTTCCAACCTTGTTTATTAAGCCGCAATGACTTCTGGGAATTGGAAAGACTGTTGCTCTCACAAGCCTGTGTTCGAACCGTTTTCGATATCAAGAAAACATCCAGGGCTGCATATGTCCATGCTATATGAAAATCCGATCTGAAAATCCAGAAAAGAAAATTCAGGACAAAGATGATGATTTACATTTGGTCATTTCTATTAATCCCAGGCCATTTCCATGACTGGAAGGCTTGTGTGAACCCTGTATTATATATGAAAAAATGCGTTGAACCAGAGAGATGTGAAAAAATGAACGTGATTTATTGGATTTGTGTGGGAATATATTAACTGACAAAAGCAAAACAACAAATAAAACGTCTTATATGACTAACCTTACGTGTAAATAAAGAAAATGCTCAAAATATAACTTTCATAACTCCCCGAAGACTAGAAAAGGATACTAAATGGCATCAGGTCCCCTACTTCCCTTAACAGTGTATACACAACATATATATATATACACACAATATATAAATATATATATATATATAAATATATATATATATATATATATATATATATATATACATACACTATATATATATATATACATACACAATATATATATATATATATAAATATATATATATATATATATATATATATATATATATATATATATATATATATATATATATATATATATATATATAGTAGGCCTCCGTCGGTCAGTGTTGACCATGGATGACGTATCCTAGCTTTTATATTGAGGCATGACTGATTGTCTAAGACAGCGTCGTTGGTGGCTGAAGAGACCAATACGGGAGAGGCATTTTTTACCACAGCAGTCGCATTGATAGGTGGCTCCCTGGCTGACGCTCTGCACCTTTCGGTGAACTCGCTTGTCCTCTGACGCACGCATCATGTTCTTCTCACCTGACTTGAGCTGTTTGGTCAGGGTGGACCTCCATTTCAGGCGGTCTGCTGCGAGGTCTTCCCAGGACTTGGTGTTTATGTCAAGGGCCTTCATGTCCCTCTTCACAACATCTTTAAATCTCAGAAATGGGCGTCCTGTTGTTCTCTTCCCAGATGAGAGTTCTCCGTAAAGGATATCCTTTGGGATTCTCCCATCCTCCATACGGCACACATGGCCAAGCCAGCGCAGGCGACGTTGTCGGAGCATGGTATACATGCTGGGAAGGCCGGCTCGAGTCAAGACTTTGACGTTGGAGACTTTGTCCTGCCAGGTAATGCCCAGAATGCGACGCAGACCTCTTAGGTGGAAGGTGTTCAGTCTCCTCTCCTGTCTTGCATAGGTGGTCCATGTCTCACTCCCATACAGCAGAGTGCTGATGACGCAAGCATTGTACACTGCCATCTTTGTTGCAGTTGTCAGCCTATGGTTTGTCCACACTCGGGTTGTCAGGCGGGCTAGAGTAGAGGCTGCCTTCCCGATCCTTCTGTCAAGTTCAGCATCCAGGGAGAGGTTATCGGTGATGGTGGAGCCCAAGTACGTGAACTGGTGGACGACATCGAGCTGGTAATCATCTACTGTGATGGTTGGTGGAGTGGCAGTGTCCTGGCTCAAGACATTTGTTTTTTTCAAACTGATGGTCAGCCCAAAGTCTTTGCAGGCCATGGAAAAACGGGTCATCAGCGACTGTAGTTCTTCCTGGGTGTGTGTGGTGACTGCAGCGTCGTCAGCAAAAAGCATGTCTCTAATCAGTGTCTCGCGTACCTTTGTCTTGGCTTTCAGGCGAGAAAGATTAAATAGCTTGCCATCTGACCTGGTGCGGAGGTAGATTCCTTCCGTTGCTGAACCAAAGGCATGCCTTAGGAGCAGGGCAAAGAAAATTCCGAACAGTGTGGGGGCAAGAACGCAGCCTTGCTTGACGCCACTGCTTATACTGAAAGGCTCAGAGCAACTGCCGTTGAACTGGATTGTTCCCTTCATATCTGTGTGGAAAGATTCAATCAAACTCTGCAGTTTTGGTGGGCAGCCAATCTTGGGGAGGATTTTAAAAAGTCCGTCTCTACTGACCAGGTCAAAGGCTTTGGTGAGGTCAATAAAGGAGATGTATAGGGGCATCTGCTGTTCTCTACACTTCTCCTGCAGTTGTCTGAGGGAGAAAATCATGTCTACCGTTGACCGTTCGGCGCGAAAACCACACTGTGACTCTGGGTAAACACGATCAGCCAGCTTCTGCAGTCGGGCCAAGATGACCTTAGCAAATACTTTTCCAACGATGCTAAGAAGGGAGATGCCTCTGTAGTTGTTGCAATCACTTCTCTCACCCTTATTTTTGTAGAGGGTGATGATCTTAGCATCCCTCATATCCTGCGGTACGGCCCCTTCTTTCCAACACTGACAGAGGACTTTGTGAAGAGGGTGCAGTAGGGAATCCTTGCACTGTTTCAGCAAGTCTGGAGGAATCCCGTCGCTGCCAGGGGCTTTGCCTGAGGCCAGTTTATCGATAGCCTTTCTGAGCTCTTCTGCTGTTGGCTCCTCGTCAAGTTCTTCCATGGTTGGCAGGCATTTAATGACGTCTAGTGCTGCGGAGGACACCGTGTTCTGTCTAGAGTAGAGGTCGGAGTAGTGTTCCACCCATCTCTCCATCTGTTGTTGCTTGTCGGAGATTATTTCCCCAGTAGATGACTTAAGGGGTGCCGTTTTGCACTGGGTGGGGCCTAGCGCTTTCTTAATGCCGTCGTACATGCCTCTTATGTTCCCCGCTATGGCTGCTTTCTGGATGTCGTTGCTGAGCTCTTGCCAATACTCGTTTGCGCAATATCTGGCAATGTGTTGAGCCTTGCTCCTAGTTGATCTGAGAATTTGAAGGTTCTTCTGAGTTGGTGACCGCTTGTATTCTGTCAGGGCCGCACGCTTGGCTTCTATGCATGGGATCATCGTAGAGGCCTTTGCTTCAAACCAGTCATGCGTCTTTGTGGTCCTCTTTCCAAAAGTTGCCAGGGCAGTGCGTTGTATTGTGTTTCGTAGTGATTCCCACATTTCCAGGGCAGAATCACCTGTCTGTGCGGTGTCAAGTTCTTTCACAAGGGTTTCTGCAAATTTCTGCGTCAGAACAGGCTGCGACATCCTGCTGACGTTGATGCGAGGATTCCCTTGTTTCCTTAAACGGTGAAACCTTTTTGGGTTTAACCTGATCTTGCAGCACACTAAGGAGTGGTCTGTGTCGCAATCAGCACTGTGATAAGAGCGTACGTGCAGGACGCAGTTGATAGCTGAGCGGCGAACTAAGATGAGGTCCAGCTGGTGCCAGTGTTTTGACCGCGGATGCCGCCAGGAGACTTTATGCTGGGGCTTGGTCTGGAAGTATGAGTTGGCGATGCACAGGTTGTGAAAAGCGCAAAGCTCGAGCAGGCGTTGGCCGTTCTCGTTCATTTTTCCAATGCCAAATTTGCCTAGGCACGAGGGCCATGATTCGTGGTTTGCACCCACTCTGGCATTGAAATCGCCCAGAAGTACAAGTTGTTCCTTATCAGGGATGTTGTTAATGACAGATGTTAGGTTCCCATAAAACTTATCTTTAGTTTCCAGTGTTGCGTTCAGAGTTGGAGCGTACACGCTGACAAGAGTGAGAGGGCCTGTGGTGGTGTTGAGGCGGAGGGTAAGAAGTCGTTCTGTACCATTTCTGCCTGGTTCTACCATGCTCAGTAAGTTGTTCTTCACAGCAAAAGCCACGCCATGCTGTCTGGGCTCGTCTGGGGCCCTTCCCTGCCAGTAGAAGGTGTAGTCTTTTTCTTTTAGAGTTCCTGAGTCTGCTAGTCGTGTTTCCTGTAGAGCAGCGATGTCTACGTTTAGCCTCAGTAGTTCGTTGTTAATGACAGCTGTTTTTCGTGAGTCGTCAATGCCCCGTAAGTCCTCGGAGAGGCCCGTAAGCATTGTACGGACATTCCAGCATCCCAGTTTTAGAGCTGGTCTCTTTCTCTGTGTTATTTTATTGTATATATATATATATATATATACATACACAATATATATATATATATATATATATACATACACAATATATATATATATATATATATATATATATATATATATATATAAAACACTCTCTCCTTCCTGGAAAGACTTCTTTAATCAAATACCAGATACTCATGAAAAGTAACACAGATGTTCATCACTCCCCATAAATAGAAATCCTCAGTTCAAATCTTTCTCCTGTTAGAAATGCCCATTTTCCCATTATCCAATCAGTTCCCAAAGAACAAAATCCAACACCATCTCACAGCAATTCGTAACTTTTGGATTTAGTGGTTGATTTGGATTAGTGTGATCGTATTTGTGCAATTTAGTTCGCTTTGCTCATCCCCCAATGACGGTTGGGTTTAGGGGGGGTGGGCTTTGGTGCCACAAAAATTAAAAATCATACATTTTAATATGACTGACCTCGCAAGAATTCACATGAAATAGCTAGTAAACCAGGGGTGTTCATACCTGTTCTTAGAGATTGACCTTTCTGCAGAGTTCAGCTCCAATCAGGGTATCTTCCGTCCATTCTATACTCGTTTTCAAACAAAAAAAGGAAAATTAAGCAAACAACTTCAAAAAAATGAAAACGAGAAAAAAAAAAAAACGAGATTTTGGCTCAATTTTCATTTTTTGGTTTAGGGTAGGACAACGGATAAACGACTTTAAAAATTTAATATACACATGTAGGCGGTGCCGATTCACCCTTTTTCCTCTGATAGGTCAATCAAATCTGAGCTCGTGGTGTTGCCCTCAAAATAAGAGCCCTCTGCAGACCATACCCAGGCTTTTAATTATTATTATATTATTTAATTATATATATATATATATATATATATATATATATATATATATATATATATATATATATATATAAACTAAGTTTACATATTCTGTCATTTGATTAGTTAGCAGCTTACATTCATTGTGTCTGCATAAATTTAAAAAAAATGTAAATTAGCAGTATTATTACACATTTGTCATTAAAATAAGGTCCCAATCTACCAAACGTCTTGCTGCTGTGCACCTGATGCTGATAACAATTTAAAAGAATAACAATTTCTGAGCAGCACCTGGTTTGCATGACTGCTTCAGAGCTACTGTAGGCCTAAATAATAATACTACTAATAAATATTGTTTACATAGTGTTTTTTTAATGTTTAGCTTCTTTAACAGTTGTTAGCGGGACCAGAATAAGAACACATGGGGCCGTGGGGCTCTATCAATAAGTCCCATTTGTTTTTATTTAATTTCCCTCTATATATATATATATATATATATATATATATATATATATATATATATATATATATATATATATATTTGGTTATATTTATTTCAGATTTGGTTGGTCAATCAGAGGAAAAGGGGTGTTTTAGCACCACCTACATGTGTATAATGAATTTTAAAGTGGTTTATCCCTTTTCCTACCCTAAATCAAAAAAATAATGAATAAATAAAAAATTGTTTTTTTTTTTGTTTTTTTTTTTTTAAATGTCAGTTTCTTTAAATTTACTTTTTTTTAATTTGAAAAGGGATAGAGAATGGACTGAAGATACCCTGAGTAGCTCCAACTCCGATCAAACATAACTAAACCAACTAAGTAGGATCTGAAGGAGCACTTGATAATTACAGACCGGTGTGTTTGATCAAGGTTGCAGCTGAACTCTGCTGGAAGACAGATCTCCAGGAACAGAGTTGAGCGCCCCTGCATCAACCTGACCAAGCATAAAATAGGTTAAGTTCCTCGTGAGATCAAACTGACCAAATCACGGACCCCCCTACATTACTTTCTTCTCTTCCGGACTGTTTCTAGGAGGATCTTCTGTTTCACATTGACGTGAAAGGGTCTACTTCTTGTATGTTTCAGTGTATATTCTCATGTGGGCATTAGGTTGATCTTTCTATAAGAAAGCTCTTTCCACTAGCAGAGTTTCTACTGTCATGCATTAAGCGAGCATACCTGGGCTAATCACATTTCCACAGTCACTTCCGTGTCCAGCCAAATACCTTAGGCAGAGTCTGTCCATTCCACTAGTTTTGCAGTTGTGCACGAAAGTACATGAACCAAAAAGGAGAACAAGACATAGAGCAACTAGTCAAGAAGATATCACGTTAAACACCTTAGAGGTCATTATAGCTTAAGATCAGCCTTATGTTTCCCTTTTAAATCAAATGATGTTGCATTAAATAAAGGCAATATGATTAGGGATATTTCTGCGCTGTGTCCTTCTTGAAGATGTTCTTTAATGTGGTGTAGAGCCTGCCACCTGATGAAAGACACAACAGCCAGTAACTCTCAGTTGTCGGGAGTTGTTGTCATGTTTGAAAGGTGTGTTTGGTAATGAACGTGCGCGTTATGATGCATGTGTGTGTGTGAGAAAGACATATCGGATGAAGGATCGCTCATCAAAGAGCATTTGAAAATGAGGATGCTATAAAAAAAATAATAACCAGAAAAAAAGGGTGGTGAGATCACTAGATGCCAATAGTTGGTCAGCGTGAAAATGAATATAATAAGGGAAATATGTATTTTCTGAGGTGTTGGCCCACTTGTGCAAATGTGGCTGTTATTGAGAGCACGTGTGAGTGAACATGTGGAGGTCAAGTCCTGCTTTGGATTGATAGCTCTTTTTACAGGGAACGCACTTGTAAGGCTTCTTTCCAGCGTGAAATCTCATGTGTTGGTTAAATTTCTCCTCTTCTAAAAAGCTCTTTCCACATTTAGAGCACTTGTGATGTTTCTCTAAAGCGTGACTGTTTACATGACTTTTAAGCTTGAGTTTGTCATAAAAGCATTTCCCACACTGTTTGCAAACCAAAGGTTTTTCTCCAGCGTGGATTTTCTTGTGCTTGTCGAATGCCGCTTCCATGGCAAAGCTCCTCCTGCACTGATCACAATGATAAGGCTTGACCCCAGTGTGGGCCACCATGTGCCTATCGAAGGCTTCTTTGTGGTAAAAAGTCCTCCCGCACTCCTCGCAGATCAAAGACTTCCCGTCAAGGTGCGTTTTGATGTGGTTTTTAAGTTTTGCTTTCTGAGCGAAGAATTGTCCACAGTTTTGGCAGGTTTTAGATTTATCTTGAGTGTGCGTCCTTATGTGGAGTTTGAGCGGTCCTCTTTGAGTAAAACCTTTCCCACAGTGTTCACAGGTGAAGGATTTCTCCTCGTGGTAAATCCCCATGTGGTTATGCAGCATGATATATTTACTGAAAACCTTCTTACACAGTTTGCAGGTGAGAGATGTCTTTTCAGTGTGAGTCTTCGTGTGGTTTTTAAGGTGGTCTTTCGTGGTGAAGCTTTTCCCACACTGTTTGCAGTTGAAGAACACTCGGAGTACCCTCTTTTGAGCCGCTTTTTGGGGTGTATTTGTAGTCTGCTTTTCTGCGGTTACGCAATTCTGAGGATTCTCAGCCAGATCATTCGCTTGTCTTGTGTCCAGTTCTTGCATCTTCTCCTTCAGAGGCATCGCGTCTAAGGGGGAAAAGATAAAGTTCAACCGCAGATTAATGGCATCAAACATTTTCTTTCTTCCAAGATGATTTTTGAAAACATTCAAATAGTTGACAGACAAATTATACAAGCAAAATCCCACAATGCCAAAGACAAAGTTTGTTTGGAAACTTTCTGAATGTAAAAAAAAAATCTTATGCCAGGTGGATATAGCCTGAGTGGGAAAACAGATTTTAAGCCTAGATGTTCTAGTGCAGCATTACACAGGTGGTCCTCGAGACCCCTCTGAAGGTTGGGAATAAGCGTGTTCAGCTCCAGGTTGTTGTGACCACGCCAGACAATTAGCTGCTCAAGATCCTGTCTATTTGCAGACTCCTCTCCATCCTGGATGAGGCAGAAGACTGTAGAGTCAGGCGTTTGACTGAGGGGTCTTCTGCAGTACACTCTTTGGTGTACACCAGGGGTGTCAAACTCAGTTCCTGAAAAGCCGCAGCTTTACACCTAATTAAACACACCTGATCAAACTGAGTCCTTCAGACTTGTTTGAAACCTACAGGTAAGTGTGTTGGAACTATGCATGGCTGCAGCACTCCAGGAACTGCGTTTGACACCTCTATGCTAGGCTATATGAATTATTGGATTTCCTTTTTATCCAGAGATTAATGGATGAGGTACTGCATTGGGTGAGAGGAAGGTGCTGTACTTAACACATCAATGATACTACAAAGCCATCTCAGCACTTCTTCAAGGTGTTCATAAAGCTGGTTTAAAAGATTGCATTTGTTTCTTGCTCACAACAAGATGTCAAGAAAAACAAGGTCCAGCAAATTTGCCTGTGGATTCATTTCCCAAACCATAATCCATTTAGGACAGGGGTCACCAGACTTGTTCCTGGAGGGCCGGTGTCCTGCAGATTTTAGCTCCAACCGTAATCAAACACACCTGAACAAACTAATCGAGGTCTTACTAGGTATGGCAGGCAGGTGTGTAAAGAGAAGTCGGAGCTAAACCCTGGAGGAACACTGGCCCTCAAGGACCGAAATTGGTGACCCATGATTTAGGACAATAATGTCCAAACCTATCTTGGAGAGCCACTGTCCTGCAGATTTTAGCTCCAACCGTAATCAAACACACCTGAACAAACAAATCAAGGTCTTACTAGGTATGGCAGGCAGGTGTGTTGAGGGAAGTTGGAGCTAAACCCTGGAGCAACACTGGCCCTCCAGGACCGAGATTGGTGACCCCCTGATTTAGGACAATAATGTCCAAACCTGATCTTGGAGGGCCACTGTCCTGAAGAGTTTAGCTCCAACTTCAATTATACATACTTAACAAATAAAATCCTATGCATTCTAGAAGCTTCCTGACAACTTTTTTTTAAGGAGTGTTTGGAAAAGATGGAGTTAAACTTGCCAGGAAAGTTTGAACTCTCCAATTTAAGATGCATAGAAGTTCCTAGTGTTAGCAGAAGATGACCACCAATTTTCTGAATTGCCAGATTTAAAACAGAATAATGCAGCCTGATGTTGAACAATCATGTCAACAAGCATTTGGTACAATCAAGTTCCAGACCAGTACAGACCATTCCTGACTCCCGTGCCAGTGTCAAGCACACCTGAACAAGCTAGTCAAGATCTTACTAGGTGTACTTGAAACTTCCAGGCAGGTGCGTTGAGCTAAGTTGGAGCTAAATTCTGCAGAGACACTGGTCCTAGAGGACCGAGATTGGTGACCCCTGCTTCATGCAATGCAAATTTAGTCAAAGCAGCTTTATTATAAAGGGAAATAAAGGAAAATCAGGTAAGAGTGTTGAGCCAGAAGCTGAAAAACATGCTACAGCTCATCTGTTATGTTAGTTGTTAGAGCAGAAATGGTGTATTGTTTATAAGAAGAATAACGTTTGGTTTGGCAGTAAAAAATAGAAACAATATCATAAAGGCCAAGCATTTACAAAGGCTAACATCCTAAATCATGCAAAATTAAACGAGACACTCATACGACTTTCAAAATCATCTTCATTTCTGCAGATCTGAATGAGGATCAAATGACAGAGCTGAGCTTTGAAAATGAAAACCAACCTGTAGGTTCCTCAAGATCTGCTTCAACTCTAACAATCTGGATTTCTTCCTTTTCCCGTTAAATTTTTGCCATCGTTCTCCTCGCTCAGCTTCTTCAGCAGGAGTTTTTCCGTTTCTTGATGGGCTCTTGATTCAGGATCAGCACACTGGTGAGGGAGTCAGTCATTAGCCTTAAATCACCAACATTAAAAACTAGCTCGACAAACCCACGCAACTAGTCCACCTTAACTAACACTGTCAGAAGCAAAACTTGCATTTGAATATAATTATATCATAGCATATCTTTGCTTTTAAATGTCTCCTCAGATACCTTTTTAATTGCAATCCTGATAGTTAAATACATTTATTTCCATTAACATTCTGTATTGTGCTGTTTTGTTTTCCTCAAAACTGATCCAGATTAACATATAAAAACTCTCCATGGGAGAGAGCTGCACTGTTAATCATTAGAGGATCGGGATCTCAACACCCACGCAACAAATTATAAATGATGATGATTTGCATATGTTTAATAATCCTTCCAATTGCTGCATTCAAATCAAGAAAGAGATTCAGTCTTTAGTTAACAAACAGTTAAATAACATATCAGTACTGGGAGAACAGTTTATAGTTTAGATGAACCCACTGATGTTTATGGTAAAATTTTAAATCACCATCATATGCATTTAACGAAGCTCAAACATTTGTAGGCAGCAATTACATTATTTCACCAATAGGTGGCAACCAGCCACTGAATAATTCTTCAAACATGATCCTCTAGCAATGAAACATGAAGTTTTATGTAGGAATACACAGATATGGATATTTTGGCCGATATTGATAAACTATAACTCTTAAGATATGGATGCAGATAGGCGATACACTATAGCTGACAGAGATGGGTACTGTAACTCGGTCCTTTATCAGTATCGGTGCTAAAATACAAAAAAAAGAAGTATCGATGAGCTCTGATATTACCGGTTCTGCTATCGGTATTGGGTAGTTAACATTACATACAGTTGCATAATTAACGGACCAACCTTTTCTAATTTGCAATATTTTATATTCGTCTGCACAGTTGGCAAAGCTCGGGTTTCCAGCCAGCGCGTCAAGTGCAAAAGCCACAGTTCTTGGCTGTGTGGTGGCTAGCGCTAAGTGCACACACATAGCTCGCGACACAGCTCGTATTCGTAAGCTTGCAGAGTGGTGGAGAGAACCAAACGGGTTGCATTTCCCGAGAGGACACCAACAATGCCCGTTGCAACAAACGCTAAAAGTTGGGCTAAGCATCTTTTAAAAGTGCATTGACTGCAGAAAGACAAATAAAGAGTTTTCGACTGCCTAGCTAAAGCTACATCATCCACATCATAAAAAAAAAATCTAAACAAATTAAATTATTCTTTATAATAATTCTTTAAATACAAGTACTTATATAGAATACTTAAAGGGCACCTATGGTAAAAAATCTACTTTTCAAGCTGTTTGGACAGATCTGTGTGTTGGTATAGTGTATAGACCGTCATACTGGGGTGAAATGAACACACCCAGTCCTTTGTTTCAGTTTAACTACAAAAAAAAGGGTCGGCCAATTGGAGCTGTTTTCAAATCGATCGCACCATTACGTAGGTGTGTGCGATCCCCCCGCCAACCGAATTGATTGACAGCTGCGTGCATTAACATGTTCCGGTAGTCGCGTGTATATGTCAACAAGACCAGACAGACATACGCAGAGCAACCGGGAATAAAAGGTCTGTTCAGTTCGCTAGGATCAGCAATCATCATCACATGTGATTAAGAGTAAGTTTCACATGTTTAAAGTGTTTTAAAACAGAGTATGTGTGTAATTAATTACAGCGTTTTACTCCAACTTTACTTCATCAGCACAGCCGCGTGTCAGAACAATTATAAAAGAAGACGCTTCAATCCCGGTTTGTGGAAGTTAAATCAGGTTTATTTTGTACATTAGCATAACAGATATCCACACTTGAGGTTAGCCTTAACTAAGCTTAGCACGCTCTGTCTGTCTGTCTGCCTGCCTGCGTGTGTGTGTGCGCGTTAACTTTGTAACGATATTGTGTGTGACTCATCAATGCAACTTCACAATACTGATTAGTAAAGGTTAGTTCTTACTGTAGTATCTCACAAACGCTACGTGAGACCTTCTTCCTTTAAGTCTGTCTGTTGTCTGACGCAGCTGAGGGAGGAGGCATGTAGAAACAGTAGGCGGGAAAGACTCGTCTTAAAGGCGCAGTACGACAAAACCACCCCCTGCTGGAAATCAGTATAAGACAGCATCTTGTAAAAGGTATAATGAAAAATCTGATGGGTATTTTGATCTGAAACTTTATATACACATTCTAGAGACGCAAAAGACTTATATTAAATCTGACAAAAGGGGTAAACTAGGTGCCCTTTAATATTCTATATAGGTTTTGAAGAGACATTTTTCTTATGTATACTATTCAGGGACGGACTTAATGATTTGGGGGCCTAGCATTAAAACTCAAAGCATTCTCTCATATATACACACTCACACACACACATATATTTATATATATATATATATATATATATATATATATATATATATATATATATATATTTTTTTTTTTTTTTCTCTGTAGACTTTCGAAAAAATATATAGCTTAAAGGGACTAATAATATTGACCTTAAAATGGTTTAATTAAATAATTAAAACGGCTTCTTTTTTTTTTTGCCAAAATAAAACAAATAAGACTTTCTCCAGAAGAAAAAACATTATCAGACACTGAAAATTTCTTTGCGCTGTTAAACATCATTTAAGCAATATTTCAAAATCAATAAAAAAAAAATTCAAAGGGGGCGAATAATTCTGACTTCAACTGTGCATGTGTGTATATATATTATTCAAAAAAAGGTAATGATTGGCACTCAATTGCTTCGTACTGTTTTTATTTTTCTTACATTTTACGGGTGATTAAAAGACAGACATTTCGGCACAAAGCCTTCCTCAGTTCACACACGGTTTGTGCCGAAACATCTGTCTTTTAATCACCCGTAAAATGTAAGAAAAATAAAAACAGTACGAAGCAATTGAGTGCCAATCATTACCTTTTTTTGAATAATAGTATTGATAAGACTGACGCACCAAACCAAAGAAGTAACTAAAAAAACCGCAAGCGCGCAGGGCAAACTTCAGTAACTCTACACATGTATATATACATTAACCTTTATTTTACCAGGAATGAAATTAAAAAACTCTTTTACAAGAGTGCCCTGGCCAAGATTAAGCAGTATACATGTCACATGGGTCTAAAAGACAACAAACAAAAAACAGTTAACTGTTAACATGAGTCACACAAACTACTCAAAACATCTACAAGCCGGTTTCAACGTCTAAATCATTTGTAAATAAACTGCATGTTTGAAATATATTTTGAGTGTAACCTTTACCTTATTAATGTAAAGAATATTTTAAAAAATCACAAATGAAAATGAAGTTCACAAAGTATGTGAGGTTAATTAGCCATTTTTGTGATTGGATTTTAGCAAAGATGGAACGTGTCACTTTTGAAAAGAAGTAGGCGAATAACGTTAAAATTACAAAGCTTATGGACAGACTTTACAACATATGATAGAAAACTTATAAGTTAAATGATTAATATAGGCTTCATGGCATTGGTCGGTGCCCCCTAATTCCTCGTAGCCCTAAGCGGCTGCTTACCTCGCTTAATGGTTAAGTCTGCCCTGATATTATCTCAATAATGATACATTTGTAATATACAGACCAGCCGTGGGGGCCATCTAATATAATTTCATGATAAATAAATAAAAATATACAATCAAACACTATTGAGGTAAAGTTGGTTTTATATTCGCACATTCATTCAGTGACAACTTGTGACCCGCTCCCGTTATTGTTTACTATGGTACTTTGAATATTGAGCCTGAAATAACCCGCAAGTATGCCTTGAAAACAACAATAGCACGGTGTATTTGACTGTGAACAATGTTGTATGCTGATTGGCTGCTTATACGAGTTTGCAAGTGATACTTTACTGATATTATTATTATATTAAGATGAAAGTCTGAATGTGTGAATATAAAATTAACTTTGCCTCAATTCAAATACTTAGTAAGAATACACAATTCTGCAGTGTGAATAAATGAATAAAGGATTTAAACAAGCTTTAAAAGGGAAGATAAGGAAAACTCTGGGTTTACTGAAGAAAACTGACCCCTGACCAGATTAGATGAAGAAAGTAAATTACCACAGTAAATGGCTGAGCATTAATTTACTTCCTTTAGTAACTTTTATGCTTGACTTAAAATAAAGCACTGACGAGTTTGTTACATTGTTGTTGTATTTAACACGCGTTCATGTGTTTGTTTGACTTGTTTACACGTCTAACTACTCTGCATTACCGTGCTGTGTGTGTAAACACTGTTAAACTGATGAAGGGAGTGAAAAGAGACGCAACAAAACATCTCAAAATAACCCTCATTAACAGTACAAAACATTTCATTGTGACATTAAACGATCCTTCAGCCGCTGCACACCGCTAGAAAAACTATATAAACAGTAGAAACTACTTAAATGAATGATTAAAACACAAACATACCTTCCTTCCACCGAACCATGCAAACGCTGGAGTGCGGCGCCGTCTAATGACGTCACATTACTAGTTCAAAATAAAAGTCCCGCTTTAAATATTAACTGAAATACACATTGTCCTTTCATGTGTTGAAAATGCTAAACTACTAATAGACGAGTTTAAGCTTCACTCTAACTATGTGTAATGTTTGTTTTAATGTTTTTGTTAAATGGCTGTTTTTAAAGAAAAGCATTGGTAGTCTGTAAATCATAATAATTTGACTTGAATCACTAAAATTATAAACGAAGTTCATTTTGATTATTAAAATTTAGCCCAACTATAAAAACTTCATGTATTTGTGCTAGAGTCAAATCTTCTGCATCATTCATGTTTTTACCAATGCTGAGTGATTCTGTGTCTGACACCATATTAGAAACATTTTTTCATTAACATCCAAACATGTTAACAAAATAACATGTGGGTCACTGTCTTCTGGCCGAGTGCACAATAAAAGATATAAATGACACTCATCATAGAGCTTGAGAAGGTAAACAGCTCTATAGGATCTATATAATTAGTGAAAAAAATGTGTATTATATATATATATATATATATATGTATATATATATATATATATATATATATATATATATATATATATATATATATATATATATATAGATAGCCACAGATCTACTGCGTGCTGTAGGCAAACACCTGTGCGCTGCTTCTGCTCTCCATGCGTGCTGCTCACACTCTGCTTGCAAAAGCAACAACCCATTTGCTCAGCTGACTTTACTGTCCTGCCTTGACGAGGTCAAACTTTGGCTTTCAAACAATGTAAACACTTAAAGACATCTGCTAAAACTGAGTTCAATACTTGTTTTAGGAAATCTGTCAGGTTTTAATTAAAATTGGGCTTTAAGTAGACGTTAATAACACAACAGGTTACTGTGAGGTTGGGTTTAGGGTTTGGGTTGATAAAACACCATACTTTGGACTCTGTGTCATGTACAAGACACTAAATCTGTGAAAATTCCAGCAGGTTTGAACAGCCCACTTAAATAACTACCACAATAAATAATGTTGTGGCCAAAATAATAATATAAAAACTGTATTTCCTAATTTTTATGTGCAAGGTAGCGACAGTAGCTTATTAAGCACAACACCAACATGGATCTTAAAATTGAAACGCAACTTTAATACTACTGTACAGCACTGTGAACTAATTTACAAACATACATTCAGCTCTGAGGAGTTCATGAAAAATGACTGAAAGTCCCAAAAGCTAGCATTTGTCAAGATCTTGACATTGCACCCTAGAAAACCATAAACACACAGCTTAAATCAAATATGCGCCAGTTTTATCAACGATGGAAACTTTGTTATTTGAGTTCTGTTGGGGTGGGGGGAGCAGTGGCGCAGTAGGTAGTGCTGTCGCCTCACAACAAGAAGGTCGCTGGTTCGAGTCTCAGTTCAGTTGACGTTTCTGTGTGGAGTTTGCATGTTCTCCCTGCATTCACAAGGGTTTCCTCCGGGTGCTCTGGTTTCCCCCACAGTCCAAAGACATGTGGTACAAGTGAATTGGGTAGGCTAAATTGTCTGTAGTGTATGTGTGGATGTTTTCCAGAGATGGGTTGCGGCTGGAAGGGCATCCGCTGTGTAAATCCGCTTGCTGGATGAATTGGTGGATCATTCCACTGTGGCGACCCCGGATTAATAAAGGGACTAAGCCGACAAGAAAATGAATGAATGAGTTCTGTTGGGACATTTGGGTTTTCTTCTCGTTTCGAGTTCTCCACTTGTCGCAGCTGATTGGTTATGGGGGGACATATTTGGGATGTCCTTTATCAGTGAAAGGAGTTTTCTGGATTCGTGAAACTTGGAGGTTGTTGTCCAGGTTATGGAGAAATAACATGAAAACGCGGGTGGTGTGCTGAATGTAATCGTCCACAGACTCGGCTCTCACCAGAGTCACGAGATTTTCAAGGATTGTCAGAGTTCTGAAGGATTGACTAAATGACCAGATTGCTTGAGGCAGGACAACTGAGCTTCCTTCAGAGTGTGATGGTGTGAGCAGATCAGTGCCTAGGCAGTGAAGATGGCTTAATTTTTGATGAAGTAGGCAAGGCTTCATGAATTTAATTCTTTGTAAAAGCAACAGTTACAGCAATGTAATGCTGCAAGGTGAGGAAGAAACATCCAGACAACGATGTAGGACATGAGTCTTAAACTCGGTTCCTGGAGGGCTGCAGCTCTACACCGTTTTGCTCCAACCCTAATCAAACACAGCTGATCCATTTAATCAAGGTGTTCAAGACTACAAGAGACGATTAAGCAGGTGTGAACTGGACGTGGTTGTAGCTAAAATCTGCAGAGCTGTGGCCCTCCAGGAATTGAGTTTGGGACTATTGATGTAAAGCCAAAGTTAAAATGCCGAACAGCAAAGCCTAAAACAGAAGCAATGCACAAAGCCAATGCGAAAGTCATGAAACTTTATAGAAGTTGGAACCTACAGGAGTCAGAGTTCGTTCATCATTTAAACCAGGGGTCACCAGACTTGTTCCTGGAGGGCCGGTGTCCTGCAGATTTGACCTCCAACCCTAATGAAGCACACCTGAACAAGCTAATCAAGGTCTTGGGTATACTTCAAACATCCAGGCAGGTGTGTTGAGGCAAGTTGGAGCTAAACCCTGCAGGGACACCGGCCCTCCAGGAATGAGATTAGTGACCCCTGATTTAACCCAACGCATCCTAAATTTCCAAACATGCAGCTGAGCTCATAAGCTACAAATGTTAAAATCACTGTAAAAGCAAACACATTTGAATGCAGACAAACTAAAACCTAAGCAAACTTAGCAAGAATACCTTTAAGCAAAATAAAAAAACACACTAAATGTTTAACTTGTAATCGTCAGTATTTCGTGATCATTTCTTTGCGGCTGACAGGAAAATGGAAGGGGCAAGAGTTCATTCAGAGATCTAGGAGTCAGTCCAGGTTGGCAGGCCAGGATGTCGTTTGAACACCATTTCATGTTGACTTAAAAAGCGGGGTCTACTACTTGTCTGAGTTTCCAGCGTGAATTTTCATGTGGACATCAAATCTCTGTTTTACTGAAAATCTCTCTCCGCACTGAGGGCAAATGTAAGGCATCTCTGCATTGTGGTGTAGCATGTGTATATCAAATCCAGTTTTGAACGCGTACGTCTTTCCACACTGAGGACACATGTAAGGCTTCTCTCCCGTGTGAACTCTCATGTGCCTCTTCAGCTCAGTTTTGCGATTGAAACCTCTCCCACACTGCTCACAGCTGAAGCGTTTCACTCCACTATGAGTTCTTGAGTGTTCGTTGAATTGAAATCTTTCTGAAAAGCTCTTTCCGCATTCAGAGCACGCGTAAGGTTTCTCTCCAGTGTGAACCCTCACATGCCTGTTAAAGTTGTCTTTCCGATAAAAACACTTTCCACACTGCTTGCAAAGAAAAGGTCTATCTCGAGTGTGAATTTTCACGTGCGTCATTAAAACTCGTTTTAACGCAAAACTCTTTCCACATTGTTGACATATGTAGGGAGTTTCAGCACTATGAAATCTCATGTGCCTTATAAGATCGTATTTCCCACTGAAACATTCGTCACACTTGTCACAAGTGTGAGGTTTCTCTCCGGTGTGAGTCTTCGTGTGTTCCTCGAGTTTGGTTTTGTCTGTAAAGCTCTTTCCACAGGGGCACACGTGAGGCTTCTCTTTATGGTGATTCTTCAAATGTTTTTCAAGGCCGTCTTTCCGGAGAAACACTTTCCCGCACTGGTCACAAACGAAAGACTTCTCTCCGGTGTGAACTCTCATGTGGTCTGTGAGGTCTTGTTTCTGAGTGAAGGATTCTCCACACTGTTGGCAGGACAAAGACTCTGCCTCGATGTGAAATCTGATGTGGTTTCTAAGGGTTCTTTTTTGGGTGAAACCTTTTCCACACTGTTGGCAGGTGAAAGACTTCTCTCCAGTGTGAATCCTCATGTGGTTGTTAAGTGTGCCTTGTTTGGCGAAATCTCTTCCGCACTGTTCACAAGTGAAAGAAGATCTTGATCCTGTCTTTTCAGACGCTTTTTGTGTGGTGTTTTCAGTCTCTGAGCAAGTTATGCGTTTTTCTGCAGGTGTTATATCCTGATGTTCCTCAACCAGAGCTTCTTCCTCTTTAACATTATCCAGTCCTTGAAATTCTTTTCTTAGAGGCAACAGGTCTAAGAGGAAAAGACAAATGCAAGGTTTACCTCAGATTAAAGCCAACAAACCAGGGCCATGCAATACAATGACTTGACTTAATAGACAAAATCATGTCATATCCTTCATATCAGAATGACACCGAATACATTGTTTACGGGGGGAGATCTACCTTCTTGCAGATTTCAGTTGCAGCCTATGTCTAACACACCTGCCTGTAATTATCGAGTGCTGTTCAGGTCCTAATTAATTGGTTCAGGTGTGTTTGATCAGGGTTGAAGCTGAGGACCATGGCTGTTTCCCAATATGCGTTCTTCAGCGATCTTGCGTGTCGTGTAACGTCATTAACTGCCAAAGTTCAGTTCCAAAACTCAAGACCTCAAGAACAGAGGACACGTGAAAGTTCCTGGATGTGTTCTTGATATCGAGGACACATCGATGCAGACTTGAGCACTGTGATGCTGTGTTCACACAGATAAATCGCGGATAAATCGCGCTATTCACGTGTAAATAGCCGCGTGAACATTTGAGGTTACTCGCTTCATTCGCGTGTGAAATTCACTTCAGAACAGACGCGGATTCGCGTGATGAGCAGGACTTCTGTCTCCCCCGTGACTCTAGCTTCATAGCTAAATGGCTAACATGGATTTTATGAAGAAAATAACAGTGTTTATGTGCTTTATGAAGGATGATAAACACCGTCGATACATTTAGGGTCGTGTCTGAGTCCACTACATCCTTTCAGAGGTGCATCCAGCTCTGTGAGCTCATAAACTCCTCCAGAAACTAAACCTGGCTATTGGAGGCTTTCAGCGGTGCTTCTGACTGAGCCCAGCCCAGTTTGATGAACTTCTTGACGGTGTCTGCTGGGGGATTTCCCCTGAGACAACGACAACAGGCGATACGTCACAATCATGCCCCCACAAGAGCAAGCTCCTGATTGGTTAACGCGGTTAACTTTCAGTCATTTTTCATGAACTCCTCAGCACTGTATGTAAATTAGTTCACAGTGCCGTATAGTAGTATTAAAGTTGCGTTTCATCTTGAAGATCCATGTTGGTGTTATGTGCTTAATAAGTTACTGTCGCTACCTTGCACACAAAAATAGGGAAATACAGTTTTTATATTACTATTATTGTAGGCCACAACATTATTTATTGTGGTAGTTATTTAAGTGGGCTGTTCAAACCTGCTGGAATGTCCGCTGAAGTTCAGATTTTCGAACTTGAGTGATTCGCGCGTCAAACGTGCAAAACGCTCAATTCGCGCCGCGCCATGTGCAGCGCGCCATTCGCGCAATTCTCGTCATTCGCATGTATCGCGCCGCAGGATGTCTATTTGCGCGTTTGCATTGACTTAACATGTAAATCACTCGTGCTTGACGCACGTTTCCTGTCTGGTGTGAACGCAGCATAAGAAGTCCCAGAATTCATTGCGACTGGAGGTGGGAAGCGCAGCATTTCATATAGATTATTAAAGTTCAGGAGTTTCCCTAAATGAAACGGTGAATATAAACATCAACAGGAAAATCTTTATAGAGGCATAGACACATTAAGAGTGTTTATTTGCTGGAATTCGTATTAAATTGGTTTTATTTGTATTGTGCAGAGTATATCTGTAAAGTCTTCATGCATAGTATATATTGTATGCATCTAAGCATTAAGCATATGCATGATGCTTGGATGTTTAAGTCTCAGGTCGACAGGTAATGTTTGTGAGGGAAGAGGCACACCTTGGACGGTGTGGAGGTTGTGGAGAGTGGAAGTCATGTCAACTTTATTGGAATAAGCTATACGTAGTTTAGCAGCTACCAATCAGAATGCAGTAGTCTGCCCTGAGAGGACTCCAGAGAACGCAGTGCAATGAAGACCAGACTCGCTGTTGAATTCAGCTGCAGAAGGGAAGCTTGGACAAGTGGTTGAGCAGTATGCTCAGATAGGAAGGGTCTGATGTTCCTGATGTTATATAGAGCGAGTCTACATGATTGGGCAGTTGCAGTAATGTGGTCTGAAAATTCCTATTATTAATCATATGTTTGGTATCGTTCACTTACGGAAGTACTCATATAAACATACTTATTATGCCGATACAAGCTGTTCACACAAAGTCTGATCAGAGGTTTTCTCTCAGTTCATCTTGTGGCAGGTCGTTCTAGAAAACATTGTGGACTCAACCTGAAGGCATCATTAGTGTTTGTCCTTAAGTCTCCATGTCCAATCAAAGCACTTTAATGGGGCACTTTAATGACCTTCAAAAGCATACTATATTTGTGTGGAGCTAAAGAAGTTCAGTGAGTTGAGCTTTGAGAATGGAAACCAACCTGTTTGCTCCTCGGGATCTTCTTGTTTCAGTGTGAACACTTCTGCAATCCTGATGTCGTCACTCTCCTGTTTAATATCCGCCATCTTTATCCTCACTCAGGGTTTTTTCTGTGAGCTACAGATTCAGGGTCAGCACACTGCTGAGGGAGTGCGTCATTAATTTTCCTTAAATCACCTGTTGAGGGAAAAAAACAACGTTAAAAAATAGCTCAACAATTTCACATAAATAACACACTTTATACAAAACAATCATGTTTAGAAATGTATGATTTATAATTACAGCAACATCTGCAGTCAGTTTGTAAAATCTTCATGTTGGTTCATCTTGATGTTTGACCAGCAGGTGAAGATTACAGAGACCAGATTCAATGAAATCAAATTAAGAAAAAAACTCAAATTTCCCCATTAATGTTTGCCAGTTACCACATTTGTTGATTGTAATAGGGTTTTCCACATTTTCGAGTTCAGGATCAACTGGTACTGATATTTTAAAATGTCCATTTCCCACTAAATTTCTTTCCTTCTGAAAATGGGTGTTAGAATATATGTAAACATCTGAGCATCACATTATATTGTTTTGTAAAACTGTATTAATTGAAGATTTAAGTTTTAAATTCATGTCCACTAGACAGCAGTTTTTATCTCACATCCTTAACGTTAGTCTAAGTAGTTTAATTTTACGCATTGATCACTCATGAAATGGTTATCTCCATGCACTGAAATCACTGCTTAAGCAAATGGTGCTTTTAATATCACTCAAAAGCAGATTCATTTTAATCCAATAGTTTAGTTTAATTTCCTGTTACGATAGACAAATATTAATGAAAGCAACACGACTGCATTTTCAAGCAGTTTATCTAAAATCTAAGCACATTTCAAACATGGAAAAAAAAAAGTGTTTTAACACTGCTAATGCTGAACTGTTCTGCAGGACTGAATTTGTTTGCTAAAGCTTTGTATATGCTGGTGCATTTTTAATCACAGCTTTCCTAAAATGATATCCAATTCATAAAATAAGAAATATTCCAAGATATAGTAGTGATTATAATAACACAATGCATCGCAAAACCTCACAACCCATCTACATTTTGTAAAAGATATATAGTAATTTACAGCAAATACTAGTGGATTTTAGCCAAACTATAGTAAAGAACTTTAATCTGTAGTGGCAAATCTACAGTTGCTAATTGCTATGCTAACACAAGAACTGTAGGAATATAAACAAATGACCCAATATTGTAGTTTTCCCAAACTATGGGCTAAATTACATTACACACGTTTATTGTTGTAAAACTTAAGTACACTAGTAGTTATTAATGGTTTTAGTTTACTATAGTTAATACTACAGTATGCTGGAGCACTTATTTACAAAGAAATGTTAATAATATGCAGTATAATACACTTTAATTTACAGTATTTAATATACAGTAGATACATTTATAATAAATTGTGTGTGTGTGTATATATATATATATATATATATATATATATATATGTGTGTGTGTGTATATATCAAGTGTGCCGCAAGCCTGCGTTTGAATGAAGGTTTCGGCCGTTAGATCGCCCCCTGGGGGCTGGCTGCAGTACAAGTCATAAAGCCCGCCTCCTCCGTGTTAATGAAGGAGACTTGAGCCCAAATAAAAAAAATGTATTACACTTGCAATAAAATGTCCCGAAAGATAGTTCTGGTGGATTAAGGCACTGGTTATTGTGCTGAAATAGGTGCAGATCTTCATTTTTGTAAACAGTTTGTTTTTAGCAGTAATTTAATGCTGGCCGTGTCATCGTGATTGACAGCTGTGATTGACAGTTTCTCAAAGCGCGGCGTCTGAGCTTCGGCAGGAGACTGAAGTGTTATTATTCGATTTCTGTGTTATTTTACCATGACAAAATGAGTTCAGCAGTAAACTATAGTTTCTGACATACATGATCCTGGTGGAACACTGTTTATTCGCTAAGTTCAGGGCTTTTTTCGGGCTTTATTAGTTTGCTGATACACGCCTAACCACCCAGATAGCAAAACACAGTTCCGGCTAGATTCTCGCCTGCCGGAGACTTATCCCTTAGAGCTCAGACTGACTACCTCTGCTGGACCTACTCCGGATGCCTGGACTCAAAGCCCGATTCCAGCCCGAGTCAATCTAGCCAGATGCGGTGGCCGAGCGAGCCGGCGCTGCCGCATGCGAGCCGGAATCAGCCTGCGACGCCGCGAGTAGGTTATGCACTGCGGCCCGGAGCTGGCGCGATTGAATATATAAAACCCTCATATTTGTTAACGTTATTACATCCATTTGTGTTGATATGACAGCAAACGCATGCTGAGCAGTTCGGGGGGCGTGGTTGATTTTACATAAAGCGTTTGATTGGAAGTTGACTCTGCTCATTTTCGCGGTTCCTCCTCTGGCTCCATCAGACAATCCTTCTGCCCATGTCAAGGCTCCAATTTCAGCAGTCTTTTGCGACAGTTTTTGCCCGTCAAGCAGGCGTTTTGCCCTCAAGGCGTTCAATGGGAAAAAGGGCTGTCGCGTCATCCATTTTTTTTACAGTCATTGGTATATATATATATATATATATATATTTTTTTTTTATAAGAGCAATTCTATGCAAATGTCAAACTTGCCATGAAAACAAATTTAGTTTTTCACCAAAATACATAAACCGTTGTTTTTTTTTTTTTGTGGGGGGAGGGGGGTTGGGTGGATAAACAAGTATATTACAGTACTTTAGAAATACTCAAAAATGCATCTGTCAATGTTTTCAAACTATTATAATTGATTTACCAAAGTCACACAAGTGGCAATTTCACATCTGTCACATCCATAACGGCACGTTTTCCTCATAAATGTGAAAATATTAAATTAAATAAAGTCAATCATGTTTGTTCTATATAAGTCAACTATTCTCTGAGTTTGATTATCATTGTTTCTTTTGGGTTGTGCATTTTAACTCACATAATTTCTACAAAGTATGTTGTATACTGCAGGGCTCAACAATAAGGACTGCCCGATGCCCCGGGGCCAGCATGTGAGATGCTTGGGACAGTAGACAGGATCATTACTGGCCAGATTGGGTCAGTGCTGCCTTGTCACTGTAACCCCGCAGAGTGAGTGGGTTACATCACTAAATTTAATTTGTCTGCGACTATTTGCCAATTGCCTGCAAATACAGTCTTAGAATGGAGAAACAGTTTGGGTTTTTAAGCCTTCAAATGCTGCCTTCTCTGTGATGTCGTGAGCACTATATTACTTTTTGGTTCCTCTTACCTGATTGGATGTTGTGAGCACATTATTTTTTTCCATAACAGCCAGTACAGCGAAGAGACGGCAACATTAAATGAGCATACAAAAAGAAAACGCTTGTTTTTAACTTCTTTAAAGCAGAGGGTACACCACGACTAATAAACAAAAAAACAAAAAAATTTGATGTTTTGTACAGTTTTAACATTTTTATAATATTTAGATTCTCGATTCACAAACATTTATTAAAATTGTGGCTAAGAAATAGCTATTCATTTTTCTTTTTGTTGGGCCAGTGAAAATATTGGCAGGGCAAGTAAAAATCTGAACCACTGGTCCAATCGGGCCAGTAGAAAAATTCCTTAGCGTTGAACCCAGTAATGTAAACCAGCAGACGGTTTTTGTCTCATCCATGACACGTGTTTTGCATAGAAAGTGTAAGTTATGTTAGCATTATATTGAAGCATCAGTTCATATTTTCCAGAACAACTGGCCACAGAGTTATGGGACCAGAAAAACATCGATCTGTAAACATTATTCGTAGTTTAAATAAGGAAAATAAACATGCGTTATGGATGTGACAAAAAAAAAAAAGTCTGCGGGTTTACAGTAAACAACATACTTTGTAGAAATTCTGTGAATTAAAGTGCTCAACCCAAAAGAAACAATGATAAACAAAGAGATACGAGTTGCTCACTATAGAACGAACATGATTGATTTTATTAATTATTTTTACATTTATGAGGAAAAAGTGTGGTTATGGATGTGACAGATATGAAATTGCCACTTGTGTGACTTTGGTAAATAAAATATAATAGTTTGAAAACATTGACAGATGCATTGTTGAGTATTTCTAAAGTACTGTAAAATACAAAAAAAAAAAAAAAACACAAAAACTGTTTCCATATTTTGGTGAAAAAACGTATTTTTTTTTAAATGGCAAGGTTGACATTTGCACAGAATTGCTCATATATATAATCTACATTTACACTGTAATCTACAGCATAATTATGACACCATTTTAATAAAGCTATGTACATACACATCATATTGTCAGATTGTGAACAATTAACTTTTTAAAGAAGATTAATCATCAAGCCCTGATTCATCCATTTTCAGGTTAATCTATTAGTATATTATTAACAAAAACAAGATTTTTCTTTGCAAATTAGCACTAAAATTCAGTCAGACAGCTATATAAAGAGGTAAAGTTGGTTTTATATTGGGATATTCAGACATTCTGCTTAGTAATATAATGTCAGAATAGTATTCTTTGCTAATTCTAAATTGGGAAATCATATTAGCAGCCAATGACTATCAAAGTACAACCATGTGTACAGTCAATCAGATAGTGTTGATGTTGTTCAGAAGTCCTACTTGAGAAAACAAATGTGCGAATATAAAACCAACTTTACCTCAATGACAGCTGTTAACCCGCTGTGGTAGTCTAATTATAAGCATATGCAGATAGGTTTTGCTTTTTAAGAAATATCAAGCGTGTTACTGCTACTGTGAATGTGTTTTGTGTTTACTCTCCTTCTCTTCAGCCTGACTTTACCGCTTTAATCTCTGTCGGAATTCATGTCACACGTGACTTTATCTATCTTTAAACAGTTTGTCAGAAAATTGAGAACATTACATGAATAATCTTTAAAAGTTCACATCAATAACACATTTCTGTTCACTTTAAAACTGATTCTGAGGAAACTCCAGAGCTCTGTTAATCGTTAACGACGCAAGTTAACATTAACTTAAGTTAAATGTTGTTTTAGGGCTAATACTGGGGTTAAATAGCCATCATTAACGCTGGATAAAGCACAGCGGGGTTACATTAAGTGATCATTCAGCCGCTGCACATCACATGTAAACTATAATAACACAGAGAATGCGTTTATTTAAACTTAAAACATCTAAATAAGAGCAAGAAAACAAACCTTCAGTCGAGGTGCGCGGCCCAGCGATATGACGTCGCATCAGAAAGCAAAATAAAAGTCCCGCTGCAACTTCAGAATCGGGTTTATTGCTTCCACACACGAGGAATTTGTTTTGGCTACAGAAGCTTCCAGTGTACATAAAGTGACAACACTAAAATAAAGATGAAAAAAGACGACAAACATTAAACAGAAATGCAAAGATGTTGAATTGTGTTGAACTGGAAGTGGCGTCTAATGTTATGACAATATTAGTCTTGTTGAATGTTAAATCTATCTCATCAAATAATATTTCACTAGATTAAATAAAAAATAACATTAAAATATAAAAATACTATTATTTGTAAAGTTTTATTAAGTTAATTTATGAACCAATTGTTTTGTTTTGTACATGACTATAACTTCGCAAATGGTTATGAGAGTTGTTGTTAGTAGAAAGAAAATCTGGGGAATCTTGTTGTTTCAGATTAAAGTGCATTTTTGATTAGTCAATAATTATAGATTGTGCAAAATGTGGATGATATTGAGTAATAATAGAGCAACATATGGGCAGCCACAAACCTGAAAAATAACCTGAGTTGATTGTTTTAAATTTCACATTGGCTGTAAATATATTCAGTGTCAGAGTCCTTCAAAGCTCAATTAGTGCTGAAAAGGTGAATTTTGTAAACAAGACCTGTACACAAGCCTTCAGCGAGAAAGAATATATTGTATAAAAATTATATAAGTACAACATACATCAGCAGAATGTTCACTTGAAGATGTTTATAGCAGTGTTTATCCACTTTATTTTTCCCTTGAGACATTTTCTGTCATCATTTCCTCATCCTCCACTTGTTTCAAACCTGTTTGAGTTTCTTCTGTTGAGCACAGGAAGATATTCTGAAGAATGCTATTCACTTCCATTTATTGCTCATATCATATCCGGTGGCTGCTCTTTCCTTCTTTGGAATATTTTCATAACTTTCTAATAAATTGCAAGTTTTTTCTTTTTTTACAAACCTCAGGGTTCATACAAATATTTACTACTAAATTTCCAAGACTTTCAAGTAAATTTTCATGACCTAATGTTAATGCAATGTCTATACATGAGTGGTAAAAGATAAACAATGCATGTTCAAATTCATTACAGCATCTCGTAAAACACGGAGCAGTCCATTTAGTTTATATTTATATCCATGTAAAATTGATTTGGATAATGCTGACTCCGCACTAGTAATGTCAGAGTATGTGATTGGCCAAAGACAGAATAGAAGTAAGTAACCTATAGTCAAGTATACAGATATCTGATTTCCATCACTTTTCCAAAACTTTTGGAATAAATTGAATTAGTTTTCACTAAATTCTCATGTTTAGAGTAAACGCCTGCTATTAAATCAATTACGCTGCTATTATAAATTACACAACATAAAAACAGAACATGAAATTCCCAAAATAAATGAGGAAAAATATTAAGAAGCATCACTGTCAGTTTTATATATCAGGTTAAAAAGAAGTGTGGTTATTTTATAAAACAATGTTTCTTGACCTTTATTCGATAATATTCATTTTGGAGGGAGTGAATTCACATCTGACCACTTAAAATAATCCAAAATGTTCCACCAACGAGAATCAGAGCAAAGGTTTGCGATTAAGTCTAGAATTAAAGACCAACAAGAACTCAACAAGCTATGATACACATATCTGAAGACATGTGAACAGTTTAATTCTTACTAGATATGGAAAGGTGATATTCAAAATATAACCAGAATAATCATTGATAATTAATATCACTCCATTACTGAAAAAGTCATCTTATGAAGACATCCACAGTTGTTCCAAATAAAGTAAAATTGTGGTAATAAATTATGCTTACGTTTCCATCTTGCTGCACTACTTCATCTGTTCTCAATTTACCAGCCAGAGAAGTGGGTTTGGGGAAATGGCAGAATTACCTCCTCCATGATAATCCCACAATCCCCACATTCTTTATAATACTCCTTTAATTTCCCTTCGGCTTAATGCCTTATTTTCCACATTGGAATGAACCACCAACTATTGCATATGTTTTACGCAGCGAATGCCTATCCAGCTGCAACCCAGTACTGGGAAACACCCATACACTCATATTCACACATACCTTCAAACACATCAGACAATTTATTTCATCAAGTGTTTGGACTTGTAAGGGTAAATCCACGCCAACACACGTGATCATGCAAACTCCGCACAGAAACGCCCAGCCGGGACTCAAACCAGCGACCTTCTTGCTGTGAGGCCACCCTGTATATTATCTTTCAAAACACACGGCTGCAGAAGCATGCACGACATTCAGCTAATAAGCTACTATTGCTGCGTCCCAATTTGCATACTATTCGTCATAAATATATTGGAAGAGTCAGTCTGTCCCAAACCATAGTATGTTAAAAAGAGTATGCTAACGGTTCCTGGAGGGTCAATTTCTGTTAGAAATTGAAAGCGTAGAAGCGTTTATACTCTAACCGCTAATGCGCGACACGTTAGACTTGAATTTAATTAGAACTACAATCTTGTGTAAAAAGTGTAAAGTGTTTTCTGCATGAAAGACTGATTAACACACAGCTGAATCCCCAATAAACAGGATAATTTAATATGACAGAAATGTGGATGAAGTGTCGATATGATTGATAGAAGACGTAAATAAACATAACAATCTGGTAATGAGGGAGTAGTTAGTCCCAAAGCTCGCATACTTTTCTGTTACAAACTCAAAAGTATGTACTTTTCCTTCTTAAAATCTACATACTTTTGGGGCGTAGTAGAAGTGTGCAAATTGGGCACATAAGTCTGTACTGCCAGCAAGAGTACCCAACACTGCCTTCTCGCAATTTTTGTTTACAAAATTTGAGTTGATCAGAAAAATAAACCTTTTTAAAAATCCTCTCACGATTCGATTGAACACAGGAGTCAAACTCAGTTCCTGACCATACGTTCACACCGAAAGCGGCGAGAGCGTCAAAGTAGCCGGAAGTCATTCATTTTCAATGAGAGCCAGCGGCGAAAGGCGGCGAGGAGCGGCGAGGAGCAGCGCGGCGCGTCTTCGCCGGCGTGAGCGTCGAGGAGAGTTGAAATGAAGTCAACTTTATGGTAATGAGCTATGACGCGGTTCGGCGGCAAGCAATAAGAATGAAGACGTTCACCGCTTGATAGCAGTTCAGGGAACACAGACCTGTGAACTTTGGTTCCGACCACAGTTGTTCCCAAGGGTTTGATTATTGCGGTCGCCGGATTTCCAATTATTAACAATGTTTTCTTACAGGAACATACATTAAATAAGTTACTGCCGAGTTACTGATGTTCATTAATTTTATATAAATTTATCTTGAAAAAGCGGGAATCTCACGCGACGTGACGGTACAAAACAGCACTGCTGCTTCAGGATATTTCAGACATATGGACACATATTGGATAAATAGAGCAAAGCCACACCACACGCAACTTGATCTTCCATTGTTAAATGAATTTGATAAGAAGTACGCAACATTTTCACGCTAGAAACATGTTTTATGCAGGAATGTAACTGATAATGCTGCAACGGCTCCTTTAAGTACGAGATCAATGTAGCGAGTTTTGACGCTCTCGCCGCCGGAGCTGAAGGCAGACAGCATTGTCGCCAGGGCGGCCAGAGCGACCTTGGACGCTCTCGCCGCTTTCGGTGTCAAACGTACGGTAAAGGTGTGGTGTGTAGGATTGACATTCCTAGTGGTTGAATTGGGTACTGCAGTCCCAATTCAAAATATTGCAGTTTTTTGCACCTCTAAGGGCTTGAAGCACATGCGGGTTGCCAGGTTGACGACACAAACAGTAGTGTGCCTGACGAGCAAGCTTTCAAATATGAGCTTCTCAGCTAAATGGTTACCTTTGTAATACTTATATTATTTTGACCTGAAACTTGCCTTTAGTACTTATTCATTGTTGCTCTTGGTTGTGTAAATTGCTTACTTGTCCTCATTTGTAAGTCGCTTTGGATAAAAGCGTCTGCTAAATGACTAAATGTAAATGTAAAATGTAAAAAACCACCTCATGTGGATTTTATAACTCAGAATATAGGTCTCAATTTGGAGCTTACTGCTACTCTCCAGAGGTCATGTTTTCAGCTACAGCCATATACATTAGGCTATCCTTCAGGTCTGAAATGAAATACAGTGCCTTTTCTACAAAGGCAACTTAGAGTGCTAAAATATAATTGGCTAAACTGACAGTGGGCTGGTAAAGAGGCCAAAACATGATTTCCAGCCATTTCCAGCCTGGTCTTCACTAGTCAGGCTGGGAGATGATCAGCCTAGCCAGGCTGGGAGCCCAGCCTTAAACCCAAAACCCCTCTAAAACCAGCCTGGTCAACCAGTTAAATCCAGCCAACCAGCTTAGGCTGGTTTAAGGTTTTTTTCAGCGGGGAAATGTAAGTCTACGTTGTTTACTGCAGAATGCTATTTACATTTGAGCAGTATTATTATCATGAGCTCAGTTTCACTGATGATCCACACCAAACAGTAAACCCAGGGCAGAGCGGCTCAGTGAATGTGGTCTGGACTGAGTGGATGAGGCTCATTGTGTCTCTATAGATGTTGTAGAAGATCAGAGTTCCTGCACTGTGATCCACAAACACTCCTATTCTCCTGCTGAGCGCCTCCACTGGGAGTCCAGTCTCTAGGTTATTGTGTCTGAATATGAAACTGGAGGAAGAGCAGATCAAACTCCAAGAGTGATCATTAACTCCAAACAAACAGTCATATCCTCCTCCCTTCCTCCTGATGCTCTTATATGACACTGATATAAACACATCTTTATCTCCACTCCAGTCAATCTCCCAGTAACAGCGTCCACACACACTCTCTCTGCACAACACCTGAGACCAGACATCAAATCTGTCTGGATGATCAGGATACGGCTGTTTCTCTCTCACACATGCCACCTCTCTGTTCTCCTCAGACAGAAGTAGACGACTGTTTGCTGTGTTTGGATCCAGTGTGAGGAAACAGGCATCTGAACACAAAGAGAGAGAAGTTGGTACACCACTAAAAAGAACTAAAGGTGTGTGTGTGTGTGTGTGATTGCGTAGACATACATTTACGTAGTCCTGCTGTAATCCTGAACTCTCCACCATGATCCACCCTATAAAACACAACACTGTGACTTTTAATCGGCCAACAACCAGGCTTGCCAACTCTATACAAAGTGCTGAGCGTACTTGAGTGTGTCCAGTGTGTAGTTTGGATCCTCCAGTTGTTCAGAGAGCAGCTTGA